TCTTAAAGTCAGGTTGGCAACTACTGTTCTGAGGTGACTTTTCTCTAAACACCTCATTCTTTTCTGTTATTTTTGTTTGTTTATCCTTCTGTGTTTTAACTGATAGTTTATTTGATTAGATTCATTTTATTTAGCATGTATGTAAAGCAGAATTTTCTTCTTTTAAAGAACAATAAAGTAGTTATTATAATGAATATACTTAAATATCAAATGTTATTCGTCTTTAAATTCTTAATATAACTATAAAATTATTTATTAAAAACTTAAAACACTAATGTATGTGCAGTATTTTACGAAACAGATTGGTCGAAACAACAATCCGAAATCTCACATATTTTAAAATTTTTTTATTTAATAAACATAATTTTTAGTACAACTGGTCAACAAATAGAGCATGAGCCACACAAATGGAAATAACATTGTGAAGAAGTGAAGAAAAATGAAGGAGTACAGTCGAAGACATAGGTGAGAAAAATAGTATACAACCAGAGATACAATTTAGTTAAACATACAATCAAGGACTTCTTTCAACTAAAGAAGTTTCTTTTTATATAAAGAATGTCAAAGAAAACTACAACAGGATTGTTCCAGGTTTCTAAACTGAACCATTTCGGATAACTAATCAACTCACTGAGTTGCATCATCTCCAGATAGATAATCTTAACTTATGATATTCATTAGACTGCAGTTACTTGTCGATGGCACTTGGTATGTTTTTCGACTTCAGTGCTCAGTCTATAGGTTGTCTCAATATGAAAAACGTTATGCTTTCCGATTATCTACTGCCACACAATAGTGGGGGGTCAATATTTGTCATCGCTGTCATTGGACCGTAGGCATTTATTTGTTTTTACAGCCATTTACACACGTCTACCGTTATTAACAGTAGTATATGATTCCATGGTTTATATGAAATTACGGTTTATGGTGAAGCACGAAGTCTCTTTTTCAACTGTGGCAGGTTCGAGCCTTTCGATGTATGAGTGACTCGCCTCCGAATGCTCCTGTTCGACCCTAGATGCTCATCACTGAGGAATCCCAAACCAGTTTGAAACAACTCATGCTCACTGGTTTTTTAATATTTTTATGGTTGATATCGATTTGTCACACAAACTACCTTCAAAATGACATCCTCAAATACTTAGATAGTTAGATTGCCATCGTGTGTAGTTAATATATAACTGATGTATGTTCTAGAATTTGTCATATCTTGATATAATTAGATTCTAGTACGAGTATGGACAATTGATTTTCATTATCACTCTAACCTTGTGTTGTGCCTCTTTCATATACAACTATGACAAATGTGCGTGTGTATGATTAGGTCCCTTGAAATATATTGTCTTACGTATCATAGTGGTGGTGAAATATGTTTTCTTATTTCTTGTTTGATAAATATGTGAACACACTCAATGAGAACACTGTTATTTTGATCATAGTGGTTAAAAGTGTAGAATGGATGTGTTCCGATTTCTTATAGTTTTTACCTTTTATGGTTATAATTTAAAGTCAACTACTCATTAGTTTTATCATATTCAGTTCTAAGTTGATCAATTTCTATTAGAAGGTAAGTCTGCTGAACTGATGCATCGATATTGCCTGCATTTATATGACGAAATTGTAAATCAAACTAATACCAAATCAGTCATAATCAACATAGTCTAGTATAAACATGAGTTAGACCAACTTGCCATATTTCATCAGCACAATCGGATGAAATTAATTAAAGGAATAGCAAAAGAGTCGAGATGATAGTAGTATAATTAATAGTTGGAAAAACTGAACATTGAACAATACTTTGGACCATTGTATTTTCTATGGGATATTAATAAAGCAAATCATAATCAGTTGAATAAACATAAATCAAACGTTTACACTGGTTTAATTAAAATTCATTCAAGAAGCAAAAATTCCGACAAATAAATGCTTATATTCTTTAAGTATAATACCGGATATGGTGAAGATCACTTGGGTAACATGAATCATGGATTTGAAAAAAAATTAGTCATTTTGTGTCCATATATCAGGATGAGCTACTTCCATCTATTCAATAAGACCAATCACTGTTGATTACCATTTCGAACTTTCATCAAGCAAACATCAGAAAAATAATTATATCAAGTGTTCGATCAGGGAGTATGTAATATATGAAATGTATTAAGTAGGAAACAGGTAAAACGGGGTGAGTACAAATAAGAGTTATCTAACATATATACAAACAAAAGCAATTATCTCAGATAAACCGGAGTTAAAGAAACACAGAAGGGGAATATGTAAGTTAGATAGGGTGATCTTATAGTAGAATTGACTATCGCTTTGAACCAGGCCAATATAAAAGAAGTAATAAGATCTGCTTTTTTGGACCCTACAACATCAGACGAAGAGTAGAGGAAAACAAGCTCCATGAACTTAATACTGTTCTAACTTAAATGTAGCACCAATTTATATTTCAACAAGTCCAAGTAAACAAGCGATGATGCAATCAATCGATCTTTTAACTTCTTGTAAATCTGTTCAGTTTACTCTTCTACTAGTCAGTCAATTTATATGTAGTTGGATTAGTATAATTTCATATTTTTCGAAAATTATTTATCTTACCTAAATTTGTCTTTTTATTGATATGCTACACTTACTTATGTATTTGCAAACATTTCGATAATATAAATTTACACATCTTACTTAAATTTATGTAGTGAACATTGTGAAAACTAAACTGTTATATCCGGGCAAAGAATAAGTGGATAACAATAACCGCTAGGATCTATTTGTAGACTATTATTATATATATTCTTATTGTATAACCACTAGGTATGTATATTCACATTTCCTTCATTATAAGCTTTTATTTGACCTATTGACTATTACTATACGATTTATTATTCTTAAGACATTTCCAATTTATTAGTAATAGTCTCTCACATCCACAGCCACTTTTTGGCTTAATCTTGTAAAATTGTTATTTCTTATTTTATGGTACGATGAGGCCTGGTTTGTTTGCATGTAAACCCAGTGTGTCTGATATATATGATTCATATAACGGAGGTTGATATTTGCGTTCTGGACTGAACCGGCTGGCTTAGGCGAAAACCTACTATCTCAAATAACTTTAGGCTGCTCATACAAGTATAAAGCTTAATGGTCTGCTTGTATAAGTCGGTGTCTCTAAATGGAGATATTTTCTCGTGATATATTAACAGGCCACAAGCCATAACATAAACCGTACTACTTAATTCCTTAGAACAAAAACACAATAAATTCAAGACATTTCAAGTCAATAAAGATGATTTGAAGAGGTTGACTAGCCAAATGATTTAAAGTTAGGGTAACTCATTCATTCACTTTGCTTTAAAATAAAATTGACCAAGCTCAAATCAGAATCGGTGTTTGAAATTCAAGAACTTTTGTAACTTGACAATCTAATCTTCAACTAAATAACTAGTGTTGAAATTGTAGTGACCTACTTTTATGAAGAGAACGCAATTGGTATAATGGAAGCAATTATTATTATAACCAATCGTCCCAGTGATGGTTTTACTGTGCCCGTTCGTTTAAGTGTACTGAAAACATACATTCTTCCGTTGTCTGTGACCTTGCGCGAACTCGTGTACGCTCACTAGTCCCGCTTGTAAACTTGGACACGATCTCGATATTCTTTCGATACCACGAAATCGCCAACAAATACATTTTACTATAACTATAACAGTTGACAAAGTCATTCGAAGTGAAGACCGGTGTTAGGCAAGGTTGCTTACTCTCACCCTTTCTCTTTCTCCTGGTGATCGACTGGATCATGAAGACGTCAACGTCTGAAGGAAAGCGCGGGATACAATGGACATCTAAGATGCAGTTGGATGATCTAGACTTCGCAGACGATCTGGCCCTTCTATCCCAAACGCAACAGCAGATGCAGGAGAAGACAAACAGTGTGGCAGCAGCCTCAGCAGCAGTAGGTCTCAACATACACAAAGGGAAAAGCAGGATTCTACGATACAAGACAGCATGCACCAATCCAATCACAATTGACGGAGAAGATTTGGAAGATGTTAAAACCTTTACATATTTGGGCAGCATCATTGATGAACAGGGTGGATCTGATGCAGATGTGAAGGCGCGGATCGGCAAAGCAAGAGCAGCATATTTACAACTGAGGAACATCTGGAACTCAAAGCAACTGTCAACCAACACCAAGGTCAGGATTTTCAATACAAATGTCAAGACAGTTCTACTGTATGGGGCAGAAACCTGGAGAACTACAAAAGCCATCATCCAGAAAATACAGGTGTTTATTAACAGTTGTTTACGCAAAATACTTCAGATCCATTGGCCGGACACTATTAGCAACAACGTACTGTGGGAGAGAACAAACCAGATCCCAGTGGAGGAAGAAATCAGGAAGAAGCGCTGGAAGTGGATAGGACACACATTGAGGAAAGCACCCAACTGCGTCACAAGACAAGCCCTCACATGGAATCCTCAAGGCCAAAGGAGAAGAGGAAGACCAAAGAACACATTACGCCGAGAATTGGAGATAGACATGAGAAAAATGAACAAGAATTGGATGGAACTAGAAAAGAAGGCCCAGGACAGAGTGGGTTGGAGAATGCTGGTCAGCGGCCTATGCTCCATTGGGAGTAACAGGCGTAAGTAAGTAAGTAAGTAACTGGCACGTAGTCTTCCTATAATGGTGATCATAATCAACCGCCACTCGACGCCACACTATAAAATCATAATTTCATAAGAGAAATTGGGAATCTTTTAATAGCCTAAATGTTAAACTTTGAATAACTGAATCTCTGATTCTAACTATTTGAATTAATACATATACAACTAAAATTCAGTAAATGAAGCATGTGCTCGGTTACTGTATATCGCTTCGAATACTATCTCCGGTGTACCAAATTTTATGTTCGAGTTTTGAGTACGGAATCGTACTGCCATCCAGTACTTCAAGGTCAGATCAACTCGTGATTTCAATTGTGTTCATAAAATGAGTCAGGTAAATAAATAACTAAATGTATTTGTCTGACAATCTTTATTTTTTCCAAAAAAATGTTCATCTAAATAATAATAGTAATGTGTTAGACGAAATCCAGAACGTTAGCGAAGATTATACAGTCAGTCATATTCGAAGAGAAGAAACTGCTTCTGTATATATTTATTATTATCACTATGATTTTCATTACATTAAACATATATCGCCTATCATAATATGCTTAATTTTTTTTAAAGTATAATTATTTTCCTCTACAAATTTTTTTAGATAAATGATAAACAAATCAATCATAATTGAGAAACAAATTCCCAATAATTTCAATGAATAGATAGCTAATATAATTGTTTAATTATTATTAATATTAATCAATCCAATCAGAAAGCAAAGAAGAATGGATAGAGTAAGCAATGGAAGGTTTCAATATGTATATGCGAATCCAAGTTGTAAACTTACACATATACACAGACATAAATAGAAAACCAAAGTAATAAAAAAAAGAACGATATAGTGTTCAGCAGGGAAAAAAAATCACTAGATATATACATACACAACAACAGTATTGAGTTTAGTTGAAAGTTTAGGTAACGAAGACTCTTAAAAAAAGAGATAATAAATAAAAATAATGATTCAGAACTAAACAAAATATAACTATAAGATATATATATATATAACAGAGATAATGGCGAGGTTTATTCAATATTTTGTCTAGTTGATTAAAACAACGGATGTAATTTGGCAAAATATTGGTGTATATAATTTAATAAACATGCAATGATAAAGATTATTTGTTAATTGTGTACATAATTTGCATTTTTAATTCACAATAAAATGCATCCAAAAACAACTAAGAAGAAACATACTGAGTATTACAGGAAGAAAAATAAAAGCTTCTTTTTTGACGACAATTTGAAAATATAGTAAGCGTAACATTGTGCGCATACATAGTGACGTAAAACGATTGTGTACTTTATTATTATTATTAAAAGTATGACCAATCAACAGTTATCCAGTGAAAGGCGATATTATAGGTAAGACTATACTTACACACCAAAACAGATTATGTTCACTCGTCACAAATTACGCTGAGTAAGATTTTGAAAAAAAAGGCGCTAAATGCATATATGTAGTATCCGCTATATTATATTTCCAAAAGTGTTTGTTTCTATCTGTTCAATATTTTATAATTAGAAAAAATTCAAATGGTCAAAAGTTTATTGAATTTAATACTAAAATGAAAAATAAGTAGTATGTACATACCATAAATAGAGCTGTTACATTTCGTTAAAAAACCTCGAATAAAAACAATGAATACAAAATTAACGAAAAAAAACAAGTATAGAAAGACCGAAAGTATGGTAACTTTTCTTCAGCTAGTTTCGAGAGTCTTATTTTCTTGCATAAATGTTTCATGAATATCACCATTGTCATCATCATGTTCTTTATAATGAGTTACGTTTCTCATTTTCCCATCTCTCGTTTTATTATTATTATTGTCAATATAACCATCGCGATTAACAATATTCACAGTTTTATGATTGATGATAGTTGAATTGTCATTCATTTCGGTCATCTTATATACAGAAGTATCAGACAAATTCATTGCTTTTTGGAATTGTGATTTATTTTCGCTGTTCACTTGACTATCTGGATTATCAATATCTACATTGTCATCGTTAGTACTGTTGTTTAAAGCATCTGTATTGTCTAGCATTGAAGAAGCTGACTTTAACTCTGGAATCAAGCGTTCTACAATATCTGCAATTAATACACGAGCCACTGGTGCTTCAACACAAACTGGTGATAGACCAAGCATAGCACGTAAACGTGAAAATCTCCATTCAAGTTGTTCAGTAACAATTTGACATAGATTTGTATGTTCTTCACTTTTATGATTATAACAAGATAATTTAGTTAATCGACTAATAGCCAAATCTAAGGCTACACGAAGAGCATGAAGTGATTCGACAGCTGATCTACATGAATTTAAATCATCTGATTGAAATTGAGACTAAAATTTTAAAAAAGTCACAAGATAAAAAATCAATAGTGCTATCAAAATTTTCTCAAAGAAGGCAACAAAGAAAACATTAAATTTCGGTATATATGATACGTAGCTCGCAGTCAAATCCATGATGTGCATGTCATCCAGTTATCTGGATGAATTTCCAACAATCGATGTGTCAAAGTTCTTTTGCACTAGAACTGTGAGAAACCTTTTCTAGTATATGGGATTAGAACCGACTGAATGCCTACATAAAATACATTAGATATAATACTAGGTAATATTTGACTGTGTACTCATGTGCACGGACATATCTCATGCACAAATTCTAGTCAAATCTAATCAACAACGACTTTGATAACAAAATGGTTTGAACAAGATCAACCTGTATGAATGAAGCTGTCTGGAGTTTATTGATGAAGGATAAATACTTCACCTGATCTAACAAAGTAAATCTGGTTTACGCGATAACCCCAATCCGTGGTTAGTGAAGGCAAATGACACAAATTAGAATCAGTCACAATGTCCCAGATGCATTGACTGTTTATATTTCTCTAGATCTCCAGCTTCAGTATTTCTATATAAGTACCTTTTCATTCTGTCTTTTTCGAATCATATGTTTAGCCTTTCCCATTATCATTTTTTATATATTACTATTTCTATTTGTTTCCTATTCATATTGTCGTGCTAATAAGATATGTCAATTTAGGCCGGCGCATATATATGCCAGGTTCCATGTAGATTATGATAGGTTGACTATTTAATCGGCATTAGTTCACCTTCAACTATGATAAAGACTGTACTTATTTAGACTGATTTAATGCTGAAATTTATCCTCTACAGATTACTTTTAGGAATTGAGCAAGAAACGAAAAACGAAGAAGAACATAATTACTTGAAATCCAATTCACGTGGTATATACATTTCCCTTACTTAAAATTATGGATCAACATAATTAATCTATTTCAAGTAAAAAAAAGGTCAACAAATTTCATACAGAGGATGAGTTGGCAAACTAAGAACTAAGTAAATTGAATTCGGAAAACCGAATAACAAAAATTACAACATACTACCTAATTTGCACTACTGAAGAGACCAAAAGACCTGATATTCGACTATGTATGTATTTGAAAAGATACACCATTGAAATGTAGTATAAAACAAAACAGCTGTCCAGTGTTCTGTGATTTTATATAATTCCTCAGTGATGGAGTTAGGGAAGTTACCTTTTAATCGCTTTTACTAGTTTCAAACAGAAGGGATTCGAACAGTGAACATATATGAGTAAACATGAAAAAACGGTAGTTTAGAATATTATCAAATCATATTGATCACTTTCAGGTTGATACATAAAAAGCGGGATGAATGGACATCTACATTCGACTGTGAGATGACAGATCAACAATTAGTTTTTCATACTGATCAACACGCAAATGCTAATCACGGTGATTTTCATGTTTGTCAGCTTACATCATATGGTCCAAACAGTTGCAAATAATGTAAAAACCGGAAAAAATATATTAACCTAAGTCATCATGAGATATGGGAAATCAACATGGCATAAAGCGAAAAATCAAATAGAGCAAAGAATAGTAAGAAATAGTTGACATGAAGCATTTGCAGTCTTGAGTTTACCTAAACTTATACTGTTAATTATAAGTAAATATAGATGAAGTTATTAAAATTTTTATAACCACTGACTACAAAAAATTAGTTGGTATGAGCGTGATTATTATTGCTTATATTCCTATCAATGTGAAAAAAACCCAATGTGATTTACCGAAGTTGAGTTTGGAGTATGTGTTGAGCTCTTGGGCACAGATTCACTGTTCATTCGACAGTTTGTCTCTTGCATAGTGGTAAGGTATTGTGAAGAATATTTTTTGACAGCAGGCAAACGATTCTTTGAATCTGAACGGCAAAAATGCAGTAATAATGACTAGTTTAACATTTATTTGACGTTCAACTTACAAACGGTATATATATAAACACAAATAGCACAAAGTTGATCTGATTAAAATATTTTGGCCATCTACTTTTTTATTGAAACCGTGAACCGATCAATGTTAAACGATCAGTGAAAGCCTGGAAGCACTGGACGACCGTTTCGTCCTAGTATGGGACTTTCCAGAAGAGGGTATTCACAATCTGGAATGCGGTCTAGCATGCGAACACTTAAGCTGTAGACCAGTGAGTCGGGATACAATGGTGTTGATTTCCAAGTGAAATCGATCTTTGTGTAGCCATCTTTTATTGTTTTCTGTGGGTAAATGCTTCTCTTTTTTAATGGTACAAATATTAAAATTAATCCATGTTTTAAATTTATTTGAACTCAATAGCTATGGATGTTAACTGAATGTAGACATGTTTTATCGTGAAAGGTCTGTGATGCTAAAAACCAGAAAACTCAAACATAAACACTAAAACTGCCTATCTTTAGAAAAAACGAAAGACAAAACTACGAGATTCATACATCTTATATATGAAAGACGGAAAAATAGTTGTAGCAACCAAACTGATAGAAAATCCTATTGATCGTAGGCAGTTAGTAGATATTGAATATTTAAGAAATTCTATGAAAAAATATTTTCGAATAATTACACTATCAATGTATGAAATTTGTTGCAATATTGAACAATCGGTGAAGAAAATTCCTTACTTTATTGAACTACGTTGTCATTATGCAACGACTAGGTTACGAGTGAATGATCCAAAAGTGAAAAACTGGAAATTATTCAAATAAATAATGCCATCACAGAAACTGAAACGAATATAACGAGTCTACATATTTTAAGTTGTCCGTGAAAGTGCTAAAACAACGTTTCATCACTAAAATGAAAATGTGAACTTGATTCAAGTGAACAAAAAGCAAAAGTAGGAAACATTCAGTGAATTAGGAGAAAATACATAGCTAAATCACATGTTATCATCAGTAATTGAAGAAATAATTAAGATTTCAAAACAGACCACTCAGTGCTCCTTACTTGAATGATATGGTAGTTGACCTAATCAGACCGTAATAGAAATTTACGAAAATATTTGAGATTAACTAAGAGTTTTCTGTATAAGAAAATTGAACGAGAATCGAGATACAAAGAAATAGTATATAGGAAAATGGACAAACACAGTGCAATAGTGGGACAATGGGAAAGACTTTGAAAAAGAGGACGCTCTACAAGTGCAGAAATGATTGAACATAAATCTAACTACTTATTGTCTGTAATAAGTAATATGAATCAATACACGAAGAAAAACAAACGGAATGAAATAATGGGGCATACTATCACAGAAAGAAGACAATTATATTTATTAATCAGATACTCTGGTTTGAGTCACGAACGTGTGTGAACCCTGATGATACTAGCCAACAGTAAGAACCGAAGTAGGAAAAGCAGGAGTGTCACGTTCAATGCAGATTAATACCATCAGACTACATACATTTGTGCAATATCACATTCATTAATGAAGTGACCTAGTATCTACAATGACAATTGAGAACCAAAATCGAAACATCAAGTGATCAATGCTATTTATCAAGAACGAAGGGAAAAACAGAATTATCATGATGACAAAACGATGAATGTAGTATACATTCAAATGTGTCCATATACCAGATTAAAACGTGTGCCGATTTGATTTATTGAAAAGAGATTTTTTTGCAAACAAAAATCAATACGCATAACAAAAAGCTAATTGAGATTAGGGACAACTGAACTACCTTTTTAAGGAAGTCATCTATAAAATGTGTATGTGTGTAGCATAGCTAAACACTAAATATCAGTATACTGTATATTGTAATAATATACAACATTATACATATAACCAATTGCAGTTGCTTTCTTGATGTGGTTGTCAGGATTGCATATCGTGATAAATCAATCGAGCCATGTTGGCTGAAATACATGTGTCTATCAAGTTAGGCAGGTCTGTTGGAAAACGGCTAAACAAAACACAGTAGACGTTAGGTCTAAAAGAGAAGTGACACTGTCGTTGGATGGAGAATACTGGTGGATGGCTTGTGCTCCTCCACGAGGGTAATAGGCATACGTAAGTAATAATTCCCAGAACTATAAATGTTTGCGCAATATCCTGGATTGATTGAAGTTAGATATTAACATCATCGGATTCTGGTTCAATGGTCTAGCGGCAAGGTGTTCGCGCACGAAACGGAAGGTACTGGGTTCGATTCTTGTGCGGGGAATTGTGGATGCCCATTGTCAAGTAATTCCATACTGAAATGAAACAACTGTTCCGTGCAGCCAGGTTTTCAAGGGTGGTCTAAATTAGGTCGTTTCATGACTTCAATGAAACTCATTAATTTCCACGACCCTATACTTATAAATGTATAATAAGTTTTGCAGAATTTAATATTATATAACTTTAGAATTTGACCAATCGGTTTTAAGATGGCGTGCGCAACATCTATTTATTTGCATACACCTACACATCAAATCAGTGTTTATTATTTATTTAACTGCTCAAAATAAAAAAAAAACTTGCCATGATAATTTGATGATGATATTGATGACATCAATAAAGCCTTTGAAGTTATATCCACCTAAGTTAGTGAAGAATATTGAAAAAATGAAAAAACAGAGGAACTAGAAATGTTGAAAAAATTTCTTTTCCATTATATACAAAATAAGTATCACAAATATGAATATATAATTTTGTTAAGTCCTAGTAAAAAACCCTCTATATAACCATCTATTTTGGTCTAGCGACATTGTATACACACCTTTTCTCAAATATCGTCGTTATTTAGTAGTTGAATATATAAAACACACACATATAAGATGTATGCTACTTTTCAATATTTCATTGTTTGAAATTAAACGGTAAAAACTAGAGTGGAATATTAAAAATGAAAAATACAATAACCAAATACAAGTATTCGCGTGCTTAGTTTAACCTCATGCTTACTAAAACAGCTACATATGAAATACATGATTCCTTGAACCAAAACAAAACATGAAAAATGGTTCGAAGTAATTGATTTAACTGTCGAAGATTTAATATTTGTATTGTATAGCCATACGTAATATTTAATCGCATTTATTCCGTTTTACACCTCTATACATCACAAATAGATTAAAACACTAATTATTCTACAATGAACTGTTCAAAATGTTTAGACTGTTAGTATATTCAATGACATGTCGGCCATGTGACCAGTAGTTATCACATAATCATATCCAAATAAATCATTTTGATAATCACTAACAGTATTGAGCTCATCATTTAACAAAACAGATAGGGGACATAACTAACCAAAATTCACTAATCTTTGTTAATAATAATAATAATAATAATAATAATAATAAAAGTAACACAAAACCTACAGATGCACGCAAATCCTTCGACTGATTACGCTGTTGACAACGATCACCATAATTGTAATTCAGAGCATGAATTGTATTTGTATCATCAAGAAAATGATGTAAACTATTTGTTGAATATAGATTGACAGAATCATCAACAATTGTAGAAGGAGGAGGATTGTGTTGTTTAGGAGAACTGTAATTTAGGAGGGAAAAATGTGGAAAATATTTATATTTAGACAAAATATAGGAAACTATGTGATGTATTCGATTCAATCGTTATAATGAAAATGAAAAAAAACAAACAAGTGGAAAATGAACAGAAAAGTTTTCGAAGTGAAAAAAAGGAAAGAGAAATGAAGTAAGAAAAGTTTGAAAGATATTAACCTCTTTTTATTTGTTAATTTTTCAGTATAAATAACTAAAACAACTAATTTAAAAAAAAAAACTGAGCTTGTAGAGATGAAAACAGAAAAAATCACAATAAAAAAATAAATTAAAACATTGAGACAATGGTTAATTAATGAATTTCATTTATTGACACATCACTGAAAATAAAAATGAAGGTAGATTGGTTAGAAGTATAGTAGTATACGAATAATAATAATAAGAAGAGAGAGAACACAAAAGAGAAATGATTAAGTTATGTAACTCAGAATGATAGAAATAAGAAATAGGGTATCGTTCATTATTAACTGAGTGTCACTTTCGATAAATGATAAAATCACAGTTGATTTAACTTAGTCAAACAACAGAAAAATGTGAGTTATCATAAAGATTCTTATTTATCAAACAAACGATTATTGTTATAACAAATCAACAGTCTCCCTCTATCACCATTATTACGGAAAAAGTAGACAAACTATAAAAATATATCGCTCGCTTTCTTAAGTCATTGTTTGATACATAAGTATGAGTGAATAATTCAATAAAATAATTAGTTATAGATAAACAACTATTCTGTAACAAAATCATATTTACGTTTTCAATAGTACAGTTTGAATGGAGCTAATACACATACGATAAAATTGTTAACTATCAAAATTTTTTTATTCATTTTAAAAGTGTATTCAGGTAGCTGAGTTGATTTGTGGAATTTATGTTAAGTTTCAAAGTGGATTTCTTTATGAAAAAGTTGAGGAATACTGCGTAGTTAGTTAACCCTAGTTTTGAACGCCTCAATAACATGCACAAATGGTCCCACAAGAGTCTGAAACCAGGATCCAAAGATGGAGTGGAGGATAAGATGAACTTGAACGCTTTTTGGTATGTGTGTATGCGGTTCACTTCTCGGTTGACTACACTCTGTGAGGATACTTTCCCTGGATCTGATAAGGAAACTGGGTTGTTTGATCTAAACGATCTGATAGAGTGACCGCAAAGTCTTATGACCAATTGATGTGTTTAGCGACAAATTGTTTTTTATTATTTCGAAATAAGTCCTAGATTAGTAAAAACAAGAAGAGTATCACCAGTAGTAGGAACGATTAGATACAGACAATTTAATTTGGAAAGAAATTCATTGGATAAAAAGAATAGAATAGTTTTAAAACTCAAGATTTAAAGCAAGACAGAGTGAATATGTGTGCGTCAATGCAATCTATCCTGGACCATGTCACTTAACATTTTCAACCATTGGTTATGATAATCGTGCAAACGAACCAACACGAATCAGCCTAACTATCAATGACTCTATGGACTGATGTCATGTCATATTCTAAATTTATACTGTGTATTGAATAATTCAGGAAAAAAAACATAATAATTCAGAAGCACAAAGATAAAAACATCTAATGGTATTCTGGAACTACAAGATAGAGTTATTTTAATATTTCGATGGTTACGAGTTAAAAAAGATAAATTATAAATTGATGGATACACAACTGACAAATCACTCCCCATTATTATTATTAGTAGTAAAATCAATTATAAATAAACCAAAATATAGTGAACCAATCCATTGATAATAACAATAAAATAAGGTTAGTTGAATTGGTAATATTAATGTATGTATGTGCGGTTACTGCATGAACACACAAACACATATTCCAACAATCAGTATCAGAATATACCTAACAGGAAACCAACTGGCACGAGATCGAACATGACGTCGTTCTTGAAGTTTGACTTTATTTCTACAAGATATTTGGATAATATAGGATAAGAAAAATTGAAATCTTGAGATATATTCACAGGCATTATTTGATTCAATATAATGGGAAAGTGACTGTATCATTTGGTAATTAAAAATCGAATCAGTTCAGATATTGAAACTTAATCAAATTTTCTTTAATTTGATAATTTTTTTATGTCATTCGTAAATATGTGAAAATGGAAGTGGTGAATAGATGAAGGAATATTAGTATTTCGATACTCCGTAAGTTTCAATGACAACTATTCGACTGGCATCAATATGTCAAGGAATTCACCTTTGAAAGTATCCGTATTCCTAACTTCCAAATGGCTATGTAATGAACGAAGACGTGGTTGGGGCAGACCAATTTACTGTATTATAAAAAATCCTACACTGTATTTTTAAAATATGAGAACAACACAGTGAATACACCATTTACTCATCTTCCTTAAAGTGTGTCATCAAAACTCCATTGTTTTTTCATTCCTGTTGACATTTTGATTGATTTCTGTTTTTCTTCCTCTTTTCATTTTACTCTTCTGTCCATAAGAATCTTACTTCCGATTCCTGATATATAATACTTATGTCTGTCCGTATAAGTAGCACACACCAGAATTATACAATCTACTTACAAAAAAAGTTTAAGATGTAGACAGAAAGCCTTTTTTCCTTTTTTATTTCTTTCTAGTAAACTTGAAATAACTTAGAAAAGTTAAACTGACAAATGATATGGTTTGTGAAGATAATATATTATTATGTACATTTAAACTGATTAGAGAATGAAAACTTTGACTAATCAACGGAACTATAAATTATGAACAGATAAATATCTACTGTTTAGAAAACGGAATGTTGTCACCGAACTTGAATAATCCTTTAAAGAAAAAGATGACTGAAAGCAGAAAACCATCATCAAACATCTTTTACTTCAAAGAGACCGGTTTTCATAAGTGAAAAGCAAATTAATTAAATTAACAAGAGTGATGAATCAGTCAACAATAAACTGACCGAATAAACTTGAATTAAATCAAAATTGTACTCACTAACCCCCACCAGATATATACACGAAGTACGTGACTGCAAATGATGAAATTATATAAGTTAACCAATAATTTCACTGATAAATGTCCCGGAAAACTGGGTAAAAATAGCGAAATCCTAATATGTTTATTTACTAAATAAAAAGTACGACTGACAGCTATGACTATTCAAGTCATTGAAAGCTTGATACTATGTGAAACAATGCTGCAGAATTCTAAAACAAGACGAAAAGACTGCCAAGTAATCTGATAAGCTGGACAGTATTCTCGAGTTTTCCAATATTCTTTATTCATCAGGTACATAATTTGAGTAAATCAAATATTTAAAATAGATCCGTCGGGATATTCAATGATGAATTATATTAATAAACACTGAATAATCAAGAATGCAGGTAAAGATCAAAATAAAAACCACAGATCCTTTACATCTCTTTGTTGTATAACGTTAACTTGCAATATTTACGCATCGTTATGATTATGCATTAGTGAATTAGAAAATCCTTCAATTATAATTGATTGCAATATAGTTCAGATGATAAGTATCATAGGATTATAGACAATGTAAAAAACTATTGCTTTCTATATATAGACACGAAACAATGGTCATTGTAGCAAGATATCCATGCACTGTATGACATGAAAAGCAATTAAACCTAATTAGGCTGGAAAAAGGTTATTACCGCTTAGTAAAAGGTGGTGTTAAATATTATGAAATACAGCAGCGGAAAAATAAAATGAATAAGAGAGAAGATGTAATGAAAAGGAAACAATCAACGGAGGTACTGTGGAAAAAGTACAAAGCTGTGTGAATACAAGAAGAGAACTAAAAGTAATGTTTCTAAGCAAGAAAAGTTGGAAACTGAGTTGTTCACTCAATAAAACAAATGAGAGGTAGTTAAGTCCAAATATTAAAAGAAACTTTAATAATTTGTTCAAAAATAAAAATGATAAAATTCTGGATAATTAGAAGTAACAACAGTGAAAAGTATCATAAGCCAGTAAAGGTTTGTAATTTATTTAGCTGTCAGTTGTCTACATGTAATAGATGTATTCAAGTAAACTTTGATTGATGCTACTACGTGGTGTATATAATTCTACTGGGTAATTTATGATGCTATTGGACCAATCAGCATAAATCATTTGACGAGATTCATCGTTATAATTTAGGTTAGTTAAAAATATACATAGAACTTTACCTAAATAACTAATCTCGATCACAGACCAGATGTAATTTTCTAATATTTATGCAGTTCAGACTTGTTGTGCTAATCAATCCATTCTTTATTATCAAAACAAGTCATTCGGTTATATCAGTAAGAAGATTCAGATCAGTCAAGATATCTTATTTATTCCCATTTGTTGTTGAACAAGATGAATTCAGAGTGTGCAAAAGTAATCAATTCTTGAAAAAATATTACATAAAATATAAAGAACAAATAGAAAACTACTTTAATCAATAAATTAGAAATTTAAGAAAGAACATTCACAATCGTCTGTATCAAATATAAACCTGTGTGAATAAAGCTCCAGAAAAGTGTACATTTCATACATCTAGTGCTGTTCAAGGATAAATCGCAGTGATTCTGTAGCATGTACCTCATTCTTTTTACCACTGGTTCGATTACACTTCATTTTTAACTGAAACTAGTATAGTATCGGTTAAGTTAGTCAACCATAGGAAAGTGCCGTATACTGTTTCGTTCAAACATTGATTATTCGTAAATTACCTAAGTGTAAACTCGATTCAACAATACAAGGAGTCAATCATAAATGAGTTATATCGATAACAACGTCACTGACTACAATTGAGCTAAGTGCATTTGTCTGTAGATGAAACAGATTTTTCGGAGGTTCTACAAGAATCTAACAGACTGAACGCCAACGAAAATAAAACACAGAATAACCAATACTTTCTGCTGATTTGATTTAACTATCAATGTTAGTAGAATACATTCTAATGAGATTGAGTGTAAATGGTTATATTGACAGCTATGTTTTACTCATCCTCTATCAATTTTGACAAATATTCCCGTTTGTTATTGGCTGTGATTTTGTATTTTCTGTTTGATAAAATCGAACAAATTGAAGCTGAATCAATGTACTTATGAATGGTGAATCTGAGTATTAACTTTTTTGAGAATATTCTTACTTGATAAAAAAACAACATAATCTCATACCTTGAAGGAATTAGTTGCGTAGCCGAATAAGATCGTTGTTGAGATGATTTATTTTTAGGTCTGTTAAATAATGGCAATGCGTTCGGACAATCTCCACCAGTAATCGACTCATTCATTATTAGTCGATTAGCACAAACTTCATAGGTATGTGTTGGTGGTGTGAATTGTTCTAAAGCCTGAATACAGATGAAAAAAGAGAGACAATAAAAGAAAAGTTAGCCTATTTTTGAATACTTTACAATTGATCTAATCGATATGAACATGATTTAAGTTGTTTGATAAAACTGTTTTAATATGAAATAGAGTGAACAACCCTCTGGGAGATTAGAACTCAATGATCAGGTAGAGATTTATGTCGTCAGCTTAAAGCTACACTTTCTATATGAGCGCAAGTGATTTTGACAACGTTAGTCGAAGTACAATATGTGAAAATTGACAACATTAAACATCAAGCACTTGTTCCTAAAGTTTTTATCATGCCTCATACAGAATTTACATACAGGAATACAATAAAACTTTAGTTTTCACAGAGTTTTTCAATTAATTATAAATATTGATATGGTGAGATCACCTCATCATACTTAAAAAACAATGCTCGACAGAAGTGACCAAACAAGAGTAAGAAACAGTTAAGTAATGTTTTCGTGAAAAAAGGTTATCCTTAAGATAGTGGGGAAAATTAGTAGCTTGGGAGGATGATCTTAATGAAGATGTATTATTTGAGTTGAGCGGTTTAACTGTACAGCATTGTTTATCCTCCTAGACAACATCATAAGCAAAAGGTAGTAATCTATTAGAATTTAACCATAGATGACTAACAGCCGGCTTTGTTGACAATGAATATGAATGGCTGTTGCCAATACTTGTTGTAATATTGCCTCCATTTTTATAAAAATATTTACTAGGCGGAACCAATTATTTATTAATGTGTGAACACTGACTTCGTTGACCTTTAGACTGTTAAATAGTACTATATAAATAAGAATATAATCGAATATTTCTATGATAAAATAAAGTCGATGCATGTTTCCTATGTTTATTTTTTAGAATTACAATTCACTCATTGAATTGAAAAAGAATGAGAGAGACTTTAAAGTTTAGACTCTCATTATTATCACTTACAAATTGAGTTCGAAATTTCTGAAAACAAAAAATATCGCTAATAAACAGTGATCTTTATTTTGAGTAAATGAGCCACGTTTGGTTATAGATCGCCTGCCGGGGATCCAGTTCTTATGTAGTCTTACTGTTATTTTTAGTATTTACTTTATATAATTAGTGAAAAAATCAATTATATACACAACAATCCTACATCACTACACGTAAAATCAAATATTCGTTTAAGAACTAACCAAATCCTTAGGTCTATTTTGAGCAGCGACTCGATTGATGAAAGATGTTTCCACAGTCTTTTGAGTAGGATAAAGTTTTTTTACAGAACTGTCAATTATCTTCCGTGTTCTTATAGTTGTAGTAGTCGTTGTTCCTGATGTCACTGGTGTTGTTGTTATCATATTTCGTTTATTATCTACGCTATAAACATCTTTTTTCCAAGAACGAGGTGTATCCGGAGCAGAAACAGCACGTGTAAACCAATTGTTTTTTCTTTCATGAGTTATTTGTTCATTAGAATTGATTTCATCATTCTGATTAAAATTAAAATATTCTCTAGTGTTGTATTCTGATCGAGACATTTGTGAATAAAGTGTATGATTATGGTTATTGGTTGAGATTGTCGATTGGGAAACAGATAATGATGCAACAGTAGCAGTGGTAGTACTAGACACTGGTGTTAATATATCCTTTTAGTAAAAGAAAATGTGCATAAAAATAGAAAAATTTTCTTGAGAAAATAAAATTGAAAGATAACATTTACGATATTAATATAAGAGTAAGGGAAATACATTGATTATTGTCTAATAGATATTAACCATAATACAATGATTCTGTGTTACGATCACTAAGTTGGCAAACTTAATTTCAAAAAATTAATCCATAAACTCACTGTTACTTTATATACTACTTACTAATAACATTATTTAGAACAAAAATTTAAATCATTCAGCATAAAGTAACACAAAATCATTAAAGGTATCCATTTAAACTACAAACTGTCATCATCAACATTATTTCATGAAATTTCCTAATCATCTGAAACAGTTACTTAGAATATTGAGAAATACAAATTAATCATCATTGACAATTCAGATGATATTTTAATCCCAAATATGTTTGATATGATTGTTGAATATATATATATATATATTAAAATAAATAATATTGTGTGAATATCAATACCAATGTTTGACTTGACCAGTTCAAATCACTGAATTGGATATCAATGTAATATTGTGTTATATTTGTAAAATTCTAATGAGTTGTAAAGTGAATTATAAATGCTTTATAGCTCAGTGTAAGTCGTTTCTTCAGAGAATAAATAAATAATCGAATTAGACTAACACAAGTTTAAATAGTACAAAAGAACAAAGCAAAATAAGTAGTACAATCACAATAAACCTGATCAACTCAATTCCATGTTACTCGGTCAAGGTGATCCTATGTAAGACATGCTTGTGTACTTGTATGTTAGTGGGTGTGAAAAATGCGGTATTTGTAATGTCAAGAAGTAGGGTTAAAATTGTATGTTTGTGTAACGGTATGAGGTGTGAATAGAAGTAAATATAGCTGTTTGGATAAATAGTCCAAGTTTTCTATTTTCTATTGAGCTCAGTAGAGTTTAGCAATAAACGAAAAGCTTCAACGACTTTCTTTATAGTAGGAAAAACCTTTTGATATTTTACATACCAATTTATTGATTATTAAAGAAAAATATGTACCACTATTGACGGTTTATTTGGAGCTTCTAAAGTTCTGTTCGATTATTAGGTCTTTTTTGTGTAGTGTAGATGTTCCTTGGTTCAAATCAAAGTTTCATAAGATAACTCTCTAATAAAGGTGTCACAATCGACACAATCTAATATACAGACAAAATTCTGTGTTGAAGCGACCTGATTAAGCTTATTTTGGTTGTACTATGTATTTTTTTAGTGTTAATTCAATTCGACTATTTATTTGTTCTATGAAGAAGTGACCTACACTAAGTCACGAAACGTGAGAAATTCACTTTTTTACTCATTAGGTTATTGCAAATATATTATGATTTTTCACTACATTCTTATGTATGATAAAGTTTTTCAAATAATCAAACAGTTCTTAATAATTTAATCAAACAAGTATACATGGTGGTAAAAGTGATTCACAACAAAATGCATCAATTTTTGATTTACTTGTATGAGTTGTTGGTGTTATGAATTGGAATATATTATTCTCTATTAGCATATGCGTGTACTATATATTAATCCCGGCTACTAAAGAGCTCTGCTTAAAAATCACTTCGACTTAATGATAGTATCAAAGCGATCCGTTAAGATTGCATACATGTTGAAAAAGACTGATCAATTACAATCCTTAATATCAACAACAGGAAGAAAGAAATTCTCGGAAATGAGTTAGAAATTCATGTCTGTTGCACAAGCTATTGGTTATCTAGACTCAGTAACTAAGTAGATAACGAGATAGGCGATTGGAGTCAATGGTACTGAGTCCAAGTCTAGCTGTGAATATTATTACTAGGTGCAAGCATATTCACCTGATGGGCCCCAAGCAGAACGAGACACAAGTCGTAGATTCCGGTGCTAGCGACCATTAAACTTTGTTGAAAACATCTAATTCGAAGTCATAGCATCAAATGATACAAATATTTAAAATTTATCATGTTAATAACCACTTTGAAAAATATTCAATTTCACGAGGGAAACAAGTTACTTTCAGATCAGGAAAGTTGTTGATCAAATAAAATTTCTCTGTTTATTATAATCGACTGTATGTACTCCAAGAATACAAACTATACTGGATCGTAATTATGATTTTTAATAATGAATAACAAAGAATTTGAAACTTATTAGCAAATAAATAGACTAGATTATGTTAAAAAAAAACGATTTATTTCTTGACAATCTCTCTAAAATCACCTGGTAAAAATTAACTGTCAAATAAGTCATTTTGGAATTTGTATATCACATGCGAAAACTTTAATTTTGCTTTCTAGTTACTTTATTGTTAGTAGATGATTGTCAAAGTCATGCTAAAAAAATATCAACAAATTTTCTCTTATGTCATCAGATGTAACAACAACACATATTTTCCTGTATTAATTCATCATTTTAATTTTTAGGTGAACTGGAGTAGAGAATAATACAGAGCAGTGTGAGCCTGAATTGTTGTTTATTGAAGTACTCAGTCGAATGAAATAGCGGTAGTACCACCGTATAAGAGATTTGTTAGCCAATACTTTCAATAAAACTATTTCTTAAAATGATGTTACCGAGTGACAAACTATTTTTACAAGCACAAAATATCTCCTTACAAGGCTCCGTAAAGGGGTGGCCTCATGATTCAGGTGTACGACTTTTAACCACTAACTCCCACGTTTAAACCCCGCTTCAAATCCTTCGGTTTGGGCAACCGGATTGTATCATAATGCCTCATGCTCTAGTACTAGGCTTTGAATGTTCACCCAGTTACAAACCTACAATCTAAATTTATATACGGTTCAGGAATTCCTCGGACAAGTTAAACTTCAGTATAGAAAATCAAAAAGAACATATTACTTACTCTATCCAATCCCTGTTACCAAGACTAACAAAATTTAGTGGAAATGCACTGTTTATTGATTTTCATTATAAAAAAAATTTACTAAAAATAATTATGTAGTGAAATAATAACATTATTAAACTGACTAACTTTTTCACAAATGTCTTCAGTTGATGTTTTGCCGCGAACACGAGTATATTTTGATCTTTTCTTTGTTGCTGTGACTGATGATGACAATGGATAAACATAGTTAGGTATTGTTTCATGGGAACAGGAACCACTAGTCGATACAGGCAATATTGGACCACTTACTACAGAGGTTTGACTAGCTGAATCCGATCCATTCACATCAAATTCACTATTCAAAACCTAAATAATAAAAGGAAGCTACTATACAGACAGACCAAATTTGAGAGAGAAAAAAGTTTAAGATTAAATCAACAAAGATCTAGGAAAAAGAATAATAACTACAAAATATTTTGTCATATGTGTAAGTTGTAATCAAGTTAATACACAAATTGATGTACATGATTATAAAATTAACCCGTAATTAATTGGTAACTTTCAAAACTATGGGTTAGTAATATATTGCTTAACCAAGCAATATATTTACACTTTGTTATGATTTGTGCTGAAAATGAGGTGAAATGGATGACCGATGATTATACGAGTATAAATACAATCGAATTTATTGTACACTAAAACAAACAATGATAACAATTATAACATTTCAATAATCATCAATAACGAATACAGAATGAAAAAGACATTTTGCAAAACAGAGATTTTCATGATGAATGTAATGTGTAGATAAATACTACAAAGGATAGAAGGAAACTATGGTAACAAGTGAAGCTTTTATAATTTGCTAATCATAATGAACTTTATAAAGAAAAGATAATTATTTGATATCTAACAACAATAATATTCAGATGATAATAGGAGCTGGTTTGTATACGTACATGCAGCATTTAATCGTAAGCATGAATAATATAGTGCATTATTATTATGCAGCTAAATTACCAGAAACAAAAAAGTGAGAACAGAGACCATACAGAAAAACAACAAACTATACGCCTCTATGTAACACAGGTCATATCATTCAGTTACTTACAAAATAAAAAATAAACTATCTAAATATGTGTAACAATGATCTGGGTTTGGTTGCATACACGCATATGCAAAAGAAGAAGAATGCTAAAATGTCACACGATGGAAATGAACAACACAAAGCAAAAGAAACATAAAGATATGTTTATCACCTGTGTCAAAGAGGTTGGGACAATGGTCACTGATTCACGACGACTCAGCTAAAGATATATACATTGAATGAATTGATAAAAGTTAAACGGTAATAGATTAAAATATGAAGGGCCGAAATATATATATACATAAATATACACCAATTAAATGAGTTCAACAACTAAATACACTGATTAGAGTTTAACATTAGCACTGGCGGATCCCGGCTCAGCGGACTAGAGGTTAAGCGTTCGCGCGCCAAACTGAAGGCACTAAGTTCGAGTCCTACTTCCGGGGTCACGGATGCGAGCTGCCGAATAGTCTTACAATAGGATGAAACTGACGTGCCATTCAAAGTCTTTAACCATTAAGTACGATAATCACGCATACTTCAAACAGGTAGTCTCCACTTACCAACACGGTCAATGTCTCCATCGACTAGTGCCTTGGTTTGGTTACTCCTATTTTCTTCTAACCCGATTCTAAACCAACCATCATCGCACTCTGAGGCAGTCGATGGATGAGTATACGTATTATATTTCTTTATCATTTTATTCGACAAATATTCACTATCTCGTCAATTGGATTGCTATAGTTACATAATACTATATGTCTAACCTCAGAATTGCTAACTCAATGACCCAAAAGTATACGAGCAGTGCCTCGAAAACACCTACGATAGGGTATTAATTATCTACGAATATCTATTTCTAAAGACTATATTCCACAGCCATAAAGTAGAACGGAGAACACTTAAGCAATAAACTGGTCGTTTAATTAGCGAACGGATTACTCGCTAAAAGCTAACTAGGGTTTCTAATCTCATGTTTAGATGACGTTTTAATCGAAGACAATTCCACCGTTCACATTTAGAATAGCAAAAATAATACTGATTACATATACATAAGCTAAAAAGTGAATATTTGCAATCACACACACATATGATGTATTTTATATGAACTTAAAACATTAAAGTAGTTACAACAGAATGATAGTTTCTAAATTTAATCTATTACAATATCAGTCTCAAGAATAAATTGAAAAAAAACAGAAAAATTGATTAGTGGCTATAACTAGAAGGAGATTTTCAAACTTACTGGGTTATAATATAGTAATTTTTAATGACTTGGAATGACTAATTAGAAGTTAGTTTTCAAAATGAATTGATACCAACTGAGAAAATGGTTAGAAATTAAACAGTATCCGACGAATGTTTTATCCTAGTTTTGGACCTCTCAGGTGTGATCAATCACGACTCCACATGGGGGTTTCAGCTTTAGGTATTCATGTATGATATATCGTCTGCTGCTTCTGTCATTATATTTCAGGGAAATTTTGTGAGAAAAAATCAGAATCCAAGTTTACAATAAGTTCCCCATTCCACCTCAGGTGCTCTTATATAGCTGTAAGTTCACAGCTTGTTACAGGCTGTTTCCATAAAGCTGAAAGAGCGGAAGCTAATATCCAGCGATTGCATCAGATTAACGGATACAGAGGGTTGAAAAACTCTAATTCGAGATCAATTGTTTTCAAAACATGGTACATAGAATGTTCATTTAGATTATTTTGCTAAAACCCACATAATCTTTAAAAGTATGTCCATACAACATCAGTACCTAGATGATAAATAATAATAATACTTCGAAAAAAAAATCATAAACACTATTTATATTACCTTTCTGCGCGCCCAAGCCGGAAGTGCGCTAACGCTAAAATAGAATTCCGGCTTCTTTCCTCCACTACGATTACTACTACTACTGCCATTATTATTTTGATTGACAGAATTTGTAACTGTACTACTACTACTACTATTACAATTAGTAGCAGTGGTAGTGGAAACTTGAGATTTAATCAAGTGATTGGCAGACAAAATATTTTTATTATTATTGCTACACCAATTAGGTGAATTGTTCTCACTGCAAAAAAATGTAAGAAAAAGAAACGAAAAAATGAAATATTTTAACGAACTAAAACAGAAGCAAAATCATAAAATACAACGCAAAAAGTACCGACTAAACCAAACTTGGTGAAGAAGTCCTGAGAGAAGTGGAGAGTTTTACACACTTGGGAAGTATCACTGGTAAACAAGGTGGGAGGTACTGGCTTAGAACCTTCAGCGTATTGTGGCAGGAAGTCATATTTATTTCAGTGGTTAAAATTTTCTTGTAAGATTCACAAGATGAGCTTTAGAAAAAACTTCTGGTTAAATATTGTGCAAAGAGAAAAAATATGATTCAGGTCTGTTTACTTTTTATTATGTACTTGGTAATAAAAGAGTGATTTTCTTTAATTCTTAAAACTCATAAATTAACGTTGTTGACTTGTTCAAAATTAAATCAATTAGTCACTATTAATATATGTAATCGGCTTTGATCTACATTCTTTTTGTGTGAGTCCTAGTGATACTTTCTCTCTTTGTTGCCTAAACTGAATTAGTTGGAATGAGACTGGAAAATTGTAACCTAATGGTTAAAAATTGAGTGGTTAACCAGTAAACCAATATAAGTATCTTTTAAACACCGTTGAAGGAAACAGTACGATTATAAATTGATTACCGTAGAAGTTAAGCTTAGAGTGTTAAATAGAGATAGTATGTCAGTTACACAGGGAACGAGTGAGTTGACCAGTTGTTACGCATATTGAGATTAGGAGAGGAATCAACTGGTAAAAATCTGAAGCTGCTAAAACAAGATACGATATCAGTCCGTCAAGTTACTTTTCGATCACAAAACTAGTAATTTGATGGCTTTTTAGTACTGATCCGATCAAAAAGTACTTTATTCTAGAAGAAAAAGAATACAATAACAGCGATTCAAAATAATAGTCAAAGAAATTAATGACAAATTACTTACTCGACAATAGATTTATGTTTCGTTACAATATGCTTATTCATCAAATGATTCATTTGGATAGTAATAGGATTTGTAACATTAACTGATAATACATCATCTAAAGGAAACGCATCAAATTCACTATCTTCACCACGATTATCATCATCCTCAGCATTACCACCACCAATATCATCATTATCCAAGTTTTCAATTTTATCATATTCTGCAAGTGATTCATTCCATTCAGATGGAGGCATTGTTTGACTAAATGATGTTACATCGTCATCATCATCATCACCATAGTTATCGAGATCATTATCATCGTCAACATCATTCTCATATTCATTCATTTCACTGTTGTATAACATACTGTTACAATCATTTAGAACATCATCACTATTATTATTACTGTTGCTGTGTTTACTAGTATATTTTCGAGATGTTATATTTCGATTTGTATCAACATCAATATTATCATTATCATCATTACGAATATGATAATAATCGGAACGACTAATATTAAACAAACCATTATTATCTTCTCTACCAGTTTTTAGTCTTGCATTTGTTATTTCTAATGGAATTCCGTCTAATTGAGGATAACTAATCGAATTGCCTAATATATTTTTCAACATACTTGATGTAGTGATACGTTCATGTAAATATTGTGCTAAATTTGTTGATAAACGCCAAACAAATATACAACTATCAGCGCTAACCGATATTAAATAACGTAGATTAGGTAGAAATTTTAAGCCTAAACACAATTCTGAATGACCGTATAATGTAGCAATTGATTCACCCGTGAGTAAATGAAATAAATTCAACTGTTTATCTGAACCTACAATTTAAATAATAATAAAATTAAGTGGAAGTAAGATGCAATAATTAATTATATCGATTAAATATTCGTAAGGGAAAATGATTATCAATACAAGTATAAATATAACATAACCTTTGAAAATTGACCACAGTTAACGAACAAACATGCAAGTTTGAATCATAAACCGATATTAGTTAGGCTAATGAATATTACCAGAACACTGAATATCGATTTCATTATAGCTCAAGAACGATGATGGCTTAGTATCCAAGGCGTTCGACGTTTGGTCACTAAGTCCCAGGTTCGAACTTCTGTCTACTTGTTTCGGTTCGGGACACCAGGAGGTTTTATTAACTTTCAAACTTAAAGTGTGCCTCATACCGGGTAATTGGCAAATGAATCAAGTTAGTCCAAGACTTCTTGACAATACATTCGATCGGAATCATATGAAACAGAACTCAAGATCTTCCGTTAGTGCGATAAACTTAATTGGTACCCAAAGTTTTACTAGTGTATGCATAGACAGTCAATTATTGATATACCACGACTAGAGTCCAACGATATTAATGTGAATTTACTGTGTCATTCTGAATTTGTCTGGCATTAATAATCAACGCTTTTTATTTGGACCTTGAACAATCTATTTAAAAAAAACTAATCACCCTTTAGTATGCAAATAATATGAATACTAAGTACTTTTTGTGTGGGCATCGTATAGTTTGAAGATAATTTTTAGTTAGCGATGATTAATTTGCAAGCGTAAATATACTATTTTTATTTTCACTATGAATACACCCAAAGTAAAAAAAATAATAGGAACCGAACAATCAATGAACAGTCTTTCTTGTACTACAAATAAATGAGGTTCTTAATGCTAAATTTAGGATCCCTCGGATTTAGAAACAAACTGTTAACTTCATCTTGAAATATAATCAGCTTCGAGTATTACCACAAACAATCCATGAATTAATCTGGTGTCGTAATACCAAAAATAAAAACCAGTTAAATATTTATCACCACTAATCCAAGCTAGTAAAATTTATTCGTCAGCCGGTAATTGAAAACAGTTAAAGTAACACCCAAGAATCGTACAGTTTGAAAAACAGATTCTTTAGACTCTATCACGACAAAATTGAAGAATGTACAAAAGTCTTCAGCTGCTGCGACGATCCATTATTGTTAAATGAGAAAGAGAATAATATGTTAGGCTCAGACTAACAATTTAAAACCTCATTTCTTGTGAACTAAATATGATAATCTTCAAAACCTGTTTAACATAGAAAGTTAAAATGATCTTTTTCGTTTCACCAAACGCAAACATTTGGAACAAGATATGTACCGAAAAAATCCTGGAATGAAAAAAAGTTAGTTTAAACGAACATGCTCTTGAAAAAATTTACCTGAAGTTGCAATCAGCGATCCAGTTGGGTCAATTGAACAACGAACTAGAAAACCATCTTCAGTATAACTTCCACGATAACATCGTACAGGACGTGCAGTGACAACGTTATAAATTCGTAACCTTCTATCTTGACATGCAACAGCTAGATAACGTTTACGATTAGTGGAATTCATTCGACTTTCTATTGAACTAGGTAACATTGGTGTAATAGCAGCATCTAATTGGGAATGACGTCCAACTAGATGGTGTTCAAGTGCGAAATGTGCTGTTTGACCAGATTCATCAGGCTTTAATTTAGAAAATAAGTTCAAAATAAATGAAAGATCAAATAATAATAGTCTGAATAATACTACTTCCATAACCAATTATGTAATACATTTTATCATATTCAGGTAGAATTATGTTATTCACTAAAAAGATCCCCTTAGTTGTTCTTTTGTTACTGTACACTAAATGTATATTAATTAAAATTTAGTAGAACATAAAGAATGAATGAAGTGAACACAAGTGAACATCAAAAATAGCAAGTTCGAATCTTGCTCCACCTACACATTGAATTAATTAATTGAGAAGCAATATAAGCCTATATAATACAACAGATATAACTTAATGTAGATTAGATAAATATGTACTTAGAAAGTAAATTATAGCATTTACTATTATTTCACAAAATATAAAATATCCCGTTTTAATTTACGCGGAAAAAAACCCAGTTTTTTTTCTACTGAATGAAATTGTAAAGCTGTAGTCATATCAACCTCAAACTTTTTTAAAATCCAATTATAAATTTGTAATGGAATTCATCATACAACAGAAATACATTACCAACGGTTGGGAAAACAAATTTAAATTGACTTTATTTAGACATTTTAATGTAATTACATTTCACCACTATAATACATAAATATATAAGTACACTTACTTCAAGTATTCTAAATAATAATGATTTATCCATACCACAAGAGATTAAACGAATTTCACCATCATCTGTTTCAATGATTTTTGCAGAAAATATAGCACCCGAATGATCAGATATTGTTTGTACACGAGAATATTCTTTATTCGGATCAAATATATGAATCATACGATCACGTGATGCAGAGCATAACAATAAAAGTTGAGGAACTGAAAAAAGAGAAAGAACCATTTGGCGAGAAAAAAACTACACAATAATATCAAAGCATGTAGATAACAGGAAAGGAAAGGGTAAACAATGCAATGGTCTGAAAACAGCCAATTCATTTGCCATTTATCTTATCATATTCAATAGGTCAATAGTAATGAAATGCTAAGTTTAGCTGAAAGTAATTATTTATTACTGGTTTTTCAAATACTATGTTACTGCAGAAATTCATCTACAGAACAAATAAGTCACTATACTAATGAAAAGTGAAATATTGTTTATCTTTGTGAACTAATGTTACGTTTGAAGAGATTAACTTATCACCTAAACTCGCGAGTGGAACGAAAGTCAGAAAAACAAGAAGATAAACTATCCCATTGCACTCTAGACCTCCCCCCAAGGGAAACGCATATCCCACAAGTAGTCGGAAGCACGAACGGAGAAGCACACAACTCATGTGTATATATACAGTATAAAAATGACATAGGAAAACGTCCGAAATAGCGTACTAGAAGAGGAAACGAACCAATGACATTTGAGGTCTATCCAAATAGAAAATACAAACTGAAGGTAAAAGTGGGCGTTTTTGTTGCGAAAATTAGAAACTGAAATTTCCAAAATAAAATTACAAATATGGGAGGTTTAACAAGTGATTTTTATGGATCTAGCATCGCCAACAACTAGTTGCAACGATAACAAATAATTTTTATTAGTTACAATACATAAAAATGAAAAATAATAGGACGAATGAGTGGTAGATAAACAATTCACTGATAAATAGATATTTACAAAACTTTCAAGTTTTACTTAGAATCATATCGGAAAGACAAAACAAAAAGAAGAACCTATTCAAGGGAACAGTATCATTTAGGTAGATACCAAACAATTTAGAAAAAGAAAAAAATTCTAAATGACAACTTACCTGAATATGATTGAAAGAAATTCAACGATAGAATTTCATTGTCATGAGCAGGTATCTGATAACATAATTTTAATGTCTCCAAGGAGTAAACTCTAAAATATATATATATGTATATATATACAAGTTTATAAATCGATTAACGGGTTAACTAATAATAATAGTAGCAGTGTTTATCTTAAGCTTAGAAACCTCTTTAATTTAAATATCATATGATTTATTTATAATGTAAAATTAATAACGGTCAATAAATAGAAGAGATATAAATATACAATCATATGTTCATGCAGGCATAATTTTATTATTTATGTACATATATCTGTGTACAAAGACAGTCAGTCATAATCAATATGGAGCCTGGAGCATATATACGTTAAGCCCAGGTTGACGCATTTCATTAGCACAATGAGATGAATTTACATGAAAGAGCACCAACATAACCGAAATAATAATATATCAAGAATGATAATGAGAAAGATTAAACATTGAGAATATGACTTGAAAACAGAATAAAAACGTATTCACTTGATATTGTTTTACTTGAATTTTCCCATTGATGTTTTTGGACTGAAATTGATCAGTCTCTTATTGGCATATGTGCATACTGTGCGTATGCCTCGATATTGCCTTAATTTACAAGCATTACAAGCAAAGATGGATAGTGGCTAAGCAGTGGAATCCAGGACGCGCGTTTCGTCCTGTTTGGGACTCGTCAGCTGGATGTACCTGCATCTCAGAGTTGCTGTTCACTCTGGGACTCGAACTCAGTACCATTCGCCTCAAACGCCATCGCGTTATCCACTTAGCTACTGAGTCCTGAAGCGAACGGTACTGAGTTCGAGTTCTAAAGTGAACATCAACTCTGAGATGCAGGTACATCCAGCTGACGAGTCCCAGACAGGACGAAACGCGCGTCCTGGATTCCACTGCTAACCACTATCCATCTTTGCTTATAAAAACGTATGTTTGAATAAATACCGGAATTCAAAATCGACAACAAGATAAGAAGTGAATGTATCTAAATTATTGTGAATGACTCTTAGTCGCCAACGTCACCAACCGCTGATCCCAGCTATCTCGTAGACTTCAACCTACTGACTTGTATTTACAAATATCGCTCAATCACTTCACAGATTCATCTCATGTCCTGTTTTGGTGGCCCTTGGCTTTCTTTAAACTTACTTTTGCACCAGTGAGAATCGCTCGTCAAAGTACATTGTTTTAGGTCTACGTGAAAAGACTGTTTGACCTAGATGTTGTAATCAGCAAACATTAACAGATCAATCGAAAATCCAGAAGGTGGATAGAAAGTTTTAAATTATTCATAATTCCCATAACTAACAGATAAATAACTTTAATCAGAAAACCAAAATTTAGGAAACTGTTTGAAATAAACGTAAACGTGTCAAATGTAAACTAAAAAGCAACGATTTAACTGTGCAAACACTGGTTATACTAACTACCCTTTCAAACCAAATTATTTTGAAATGAATTCATTAAAAGATTATACGAATTATAAAGTATTATATGAAGTTAGAAGAACGAACGAAAACTGACTGAAATCCAGTTCGGTACGTTAAAGCTTCAAATACTTTCCTCACATGCCTTGAGCATCACAAGTAGGAGCTTAGGTATACTTGAGGTTTTGTAGTTGCTGGATCTAATTGTCAAATAAATAACCACACAACGTTTAACTTGGACATTTTTATTTAAAAAAAAACAAACAAATCAGCTTTAAGGAATTGAAGGAGACATAATAACTAAATATTCACCTCTACTCAAGTCCCGTGACATAGATATACCAATAGACATCTAATCCAGACTCATCTATAAAAGCAAACAGCAAAGTGAAGAGAGGCATCAGAGCTAACAAGCAGAAAAAAGTGGGAAATCTAGCGATGACAGCGGAAAACGCTGAAAGAGAAGGAAATAGGACGCAATATAGAAGCTAGCGTAAAAATATTGTAAACCAGCAAGACGAGTCAAGGATAAATACGGCAAGTTGATCACTAAGGTTCAAGAACAGAGGAATAGTTGGGTAGAGTAATTCGCAAAACTCTTGAATAAACCAGTCACATAGAACCCACCGGACATCGAAGCAGCACACACAGACCGTCTTATAGTTGTCACTCCACCAACGATCGAAGAAATCAGCATTGCAGTCAGACAAATCAAGAGTGGGAAAGTAACAGGTTGACTACATAGTGATGACCTCTATAACTCAGAGAAAACATGGAATACAATGGACAGCTCAGAATCAATTAGAAGATTCGGACTTCGCAGATGAACTAGCTCCTCTATCCCATCGCATACACACCAAAACATGCAGGTCAACACAACTAGTGTAGCAGCAGCCTCTGCAACAGCAGGCTTCAACATACACAACCGAAAAACCAACATCCTCAAATACAACACACAGAACACCAACCAACCCTATCACAATTGATGGAGAAACTCTGGAAGAGATGGAAAATTTCACGTATCTGGGTAGCATCATCGATGAACAAAAAGGATCTGATGTAGACATAGAGGCATGACAAAAGTTGAAGAACATATGGAATTCAAAACAACCGTCTATAAACCAACATCAAAGTCACAATCTTCAATACGAACGTAAAAACAGTCCTACCGTACCGAGATGAAAAGTGGAGAACTACCACAACCATCGTCACCAAAGTACAGGTATTTATAAACAGTTGTTTACACAAGATATTAATTGTCCGTCAACCATATACCATCAGTAACAACTTACTGTGGGAGAGAACAAGCCAGCTTCCAGCTGATGAGGAAATCAGAAAAAGACGCTGGAAATAGATAAGACACATATTGAGGAAATCACCAAACTACATCACGAGGCGAGCACTAACTTGGAATTCTGAAGGGAAAATGAGAGGCGGAAGGCCAAAGAACACACAGAGTCAGGAATTGGAATCATACATAAAAAGGATGAATAGGAACAGGAAACAAGTTCTCAGGACAGATTTTAATGAAGAATGCTGATGGGCGACCTTTGTTCTTCCGTGGGGGATAACAGGCGTAAGCACATAAGTATGTAGATAAGTAATTATGTCTCAATAAAAAGCCATCTTCAAATCACAGCTTTAAAACTCAAGTAGCTGAATAAAACAGTTGCAAAGTAATGTTTCACATATTGGATGACAACCGCAAAAGTTAAATTGCGTTATTATGCATCAAACAGTTTCACAAAATAACAAACATTCTACGCCCACATTTGAAACGTTACTGCAAACTCCCTTTTATGTCCAGAGTAAAGTGGACTCCAATAACGTACAAGTACAAGTTATCTAACGTAGTGTAAATGTTTCGATAAAGCTTGAGTCATTTGTACCTGAGTCTCATTTGGACAAGTTTGGATTGTGGCCACGTGATTATTATGAGTAACAACAAGAATCAACTGAGACTACTGATGGTATCTGAAATATGAGATTAATAGTTTTTTCGGTGTAACATTTATTTTCTTTCTCTGGTTCTTTGTGAAGAACATAAAATATATACTACAGAACAAGATACATATTAGAGAAGTCCTGAAACAAAACTCTATCCAACTTTAAAGCAAGTTTCAAACTCATATAATATGATTGATTGTTGAGTCCAGAGAGTGTTAATAATATCATTGATTGAATGAAATTACCCTCTATTAACTTGCATTACTAAATTTTTATTTCAGTAATTAAAATATATAATATGCAAGTATACTGAGGTGAAAGGAAGTGAATCCTACCAAACAGTTAAATCTAAATCTGACCCAAGCACCCATAAATGTATTAAAGTTGTAAATTTTCTTCGAAAACATGTAATTTATGATGAGTATTGATGTTTTAGACCGATTCTGTAAATACTTATAACTAAATGACAATTCTTCTTATAGCCTACATTAATAGAATTCATGTGTCTGTTACTTAATTTCAGTTAGCAAATATTATTTAACTGATTATCTAAGGATTACACAATATATTCCAACAAGTTAATCATACAATGGGCTAAGATTTTATGCCTAAGACAATAATTCTGGAAACAACAAATTTTTAAAAAAAATACTTATTATTAGTTTTAAGAATTCCTAATGAAACACATTTCTATATGTTGTTCTTACATTAGCTTTCTAACTGGCAAAGTAGTCTGCTTCATCAAACATCCATATCGAACAAAACGATAGTGATTTCTTATTTATTTACTTTTTTAAATATACTATTAACCTTACTGATGCTAAGAGACTGCGAATTTGGCCAGATAAAAAGCGTATTTTGAAACAGACAGTTACCCGTAAAAATATCCAATAATGGATGCCAATTATTTGAAAATATTCGTGACGTTCACGATACAATTATATTTATAACGATTAGACAGATAGATACCATGAAAAACACACTACAATAGGTAAGTCACAATCCCCACCCCAAATCCCCTGGTACAGTTGAGGGTGGGGAAGGTCCGCTCTCCTTCTCGAGATGCTTTTACATGTTCATGAGTATACAACCAGCGCCTTCTTGAGAAATAAGTGTTGTTGAGGAAATTGAGTGGATTTTCGGCGCTTTAACAGAGTTGGTGGGTATGGAGGATTCACCTAGGGGAGTTGAAGAACCCTGATTCCAAATCAATGGTGCACATAGGCTACACGAAAGTGACGAAACAAATGGCGTATGAACCCGTTGTTGGTCGACGACTACCATGGGACTGCATCTCATAACATCTCTCCACGACCTTGTAGATTAGAACTGTGGGTTAAAGGCTCGGAGGGTGGCCTCCTAAGAAAACCACAGTGATTGGTTTGTGCTCCCGGGAAGTATTACAGCCCTCATACAAATCGAATGATGAATTATGGATTACATATATTTGGCACCTATTTGTACCAATTTTTATGTGTTTAAATAAATAAAATAATCACAACACAAATAGCTCAATGGTAACACCTACGGTTAGAAAGCTCGATATATTGGGTTAAAGTTTCGTAAGAAACCTTGTCGATGAGTGTCAGCTAGCAAGAAACATAGGTCTACGGTTTCCTGTCAACTACCTTCGACCATCTAACACTATGTAAGTATGTCAACATATAACTATCGACAATCGTCTTCATTTATATACAGACAAAAGAAACAGACGAACGAAAATAGACCCAACACACATACAAGTGATCGCTTGTCGCATACCAGCAATTCTAAATTTTTCTCCTCCAAAATGATGAATTAATGCAAAAGGAATATTTAAAAACATTCCCACAAAGTTTACACGAATGACAGTAGAAATTTTAAGAGGCGGACGATTATAAACTAGGAGTTTTCATCTATTTAACAAAATAAATTATATCATAGAACACACATAAACATATATTAGTAGCAAGTAAAGAGGAATAAAAAACAAGCGAGAAAAAATAGACGATAGCAGTGGAATCTTAAAACAATTCATCTTTTTTATATACTATCAGCAACTATACCCGGTGAAGCTTTACATATTTCCAATAAATTATCCCGCAACTCGTACACTTCGGTATCATAGAACTAAACTGATGGTCCTCAACGACTCATTGGACAATCGGAGAACAGTGTCTAGTTATAGAACAATGTATCATTGCAATAAATAGAATTACATAGAATAAATAATTTTGACATGATAAACGATCCTTTATATGTTGAATTATTTACCATAGTGCACAAAACGGTATAAGATTAAGAATTAAAAGTAGCAATAGGGTTAGAGTTATGCTTATGAGTTGAGGTTGAAATATGAGAATACTTTTTAACCACACAAATAACCTTGACTACACTCCAAATTAAATCTGATCCGCCTAACGAGTAATCAGCGTTACAGATAAAATCTGAATAAAGAGTAAGGCGCTTCTTGCACATACTATGTTACATTTATTGTGCGGTCGCACAACAGATGTATTTAGCAATTTAAGGCCTCTTAAGAACTATATATAGGTTATTTTACAGACACAACCTCTATCGCATCCGAATTTTGCGTGAAAATTCCATAGCCACAAACTTAAATCTGATTGAACCCTCCATAATGCAACAAAGTCACAAGCACAGCATCCGAGTCTCGGTGTGAAAATCAACACTAGCGTGACGGTACATTCACTTGGCGAGTCAAATAGAACGAAAAGTGCGTCCTGTATCCCACAGCTAGCGGTTGTCTCACGCTACTTTCAATACTTGTAACGTAATGACAATATCAAGGCAGTTCGCACAGAATGCACATATGTCGAAAGCGGCTGACACTTGAAGTTCATTAGATCAACGGTACGATCAAAATAACCAATACAAATTATGAAATACTAGAAAATTAATCACAATAACCAATTAGAAAAATCAAAAATATTGTCATTAAACCACACTTACCGTAGACTACCATCACGATCACCAGCTGCTAGATGACGACCATCAGGACTTATACAAATGGTACGAACACAAGTTGGTCCGATATTGGTAGTAGCAGTAGTACAATTACTACTATTAGTATTACTATTATTACTAGCACCAACAGTATTAAGTGAAGACGTTAAACTAGAAATCAACTGACAATGTTCACTGATTGATGGACGTGATGGTGATGCAGGTGATTGAAGTGCAGAATCAATTTGTCCCAGGTCATTTGTACCAGGTACAAAACCTGGTCCACCTAACAGACCTATCCCACCTTTAAAAAAGCAATAAGAGATTTTCTTTTTACTGTTTTTATCAAGTGAATTTATTTCATATACATGGATTGTGAAATGTTTCAATTAATAAGTTCCAAGTCTAAACTTCTCTTGGCCTACTTTAGTTTGAACGCAATTAGACAGTGTGTTATTAGTCTTCTTATAAACACTGTGCTAAAAAAGTTAAATAAATAAACTGGCACATGGTAACTACTACTCAGAGACAATCATTTAAAAAAATGTATGGTAGTAACTGACGTACTTTAGATTTATCCTTTCTTGAAATAATCAATACAGAAATATTTACTTACTAACATTTTTGCGAAAAACGTGTTCAGAAATTATTAAATTCCAATTATACATTCATAATAAATTGGCTTTGTTTGCAAGAATATTGAAAACATCAAAAAATTAAACAGTTGTTTCTACCCTTAGGTCATGAATCTTTACATGTTAGAGCATTATTGTGTTTGTGTGTGATTTATGTACAAGTACATACTCAAATGTCTTTATTACAAAAATAATTCAATTATTTTTGATTCACTGAACTATGCCATAGATTAAGAGTTTTGAATATTATTAGAAATTTCCTTATTACGACCCAGCTACTCTCATTGTTTATTATTCTTGAGCACTACTTCACTCAACAAGTTTCCAAATCCGAATACAGCTGAACAGGAACGTGATTGTATTCCAAATAAGAAATTTGGATGGAAGTATAGATCGCAATAAGAAAAACGTTAGTTTATCTAGAATTTTTACATACGATTCTAGTCTTCTCCAGGTCTCCACTAGCGCTGATTGGTTGGAAAACAGCCAATCAGCGCACCCCAACACAATCCTTCATGGAACAAACTTAAATCCAATCTACGTCCCGCTAATAACTATCTGTGATCAATAAATTGGGATATTAACATGAAGCCGAGGAGTTTGATATAATGATCGCTAGGAACATTGAGTTTAACTAAAGTGTGTGCTTCCAATTTACGCATTTCGATTCAGTAAATAACTACTGTTAAACACAATAAAATCTATATCATTCACAGTTTCAACATAGACTGATTGATCTCAGAAAATATTAAAGCTGAGAATATCAAGCTCCAACTGGAACAATGCTGTATTTAATTTCTAGAAACTCCAATTTAGTACTTTTTTCCAGTATAAGTAGTCACAACACACAAAAATGAAAAATCAAAAGTAGACAAACCTTTACCAAAGCCATCGAAGAGAGGACATGCAAATAAATTCAATGAGTAGAATAAAGATTTCATAATTATATTATATACACATATACATTTATATACTTTCAACTTGAAATATTCATTGGCATGATAACACTACATCCCACGTGTTATTAAGTGAAATGTTGCGTTAAAACATGCTAAGAAAAGAGGAATTCAAAGTATCGAGGAAAGGGAAAGGTAGAATCATACTTTAAATTGATAATGACTATGGGAAATAAAACATAGTTAACTCAGGTAGGTAATATGCAAAAAAACATCAATCATTTTAGTTAACTAATGACTGCTATGGAACGAATGGAAAGCAAAGAACTATGAACAATTTCGTCATATTTTACTTGTTGAAAATGACTACTTTAGATTTAACACAAAACTAGATTCATAGCTAATGTAACTTCAATGACTATCATAAAATTTGACTATTGATTGGAATTAGTGGCATAAAAATTCAACTACCTCGACAATAAAGCAACGAGTGTAATGGCTTACGGGAAATAACTAAAGTTTGAATACATTCGAAAACTGTTTGATTTATAACAAGGAGCCCAATCAAAACATGATTAATTTCGATTCTGTAAGGGGCTGATAGTAGTAGTTGATGACTAATTGTCTTTATATTTCTCAAAACATCACTTTTCACATTAACCACACAACGAATCTTATTGTGTGAAAGATGGCGATCATAACAAATTTACTGCATGAAACGGATTTTCGAAATACAAAACGAAACTATTGGTGAGCAGTAAACTCAATTTAGTTTAAACAAAGCTGTTTATGATTTAAATTGTGAAAGACAAAACGAATGATAAATCCGAATTCATCATATATATATTCTCTTTCCCCACATCTTCTGTTTTCTTGGATAGTGAAAATTTCTGCCATGTCTCAAAGAAAACTTATTCTTAGTTAAGAATGTTTACTTATCTAATATAAATTATCAGTAATTCAATACATCAGTATTCTTGTTGGTTTTTAAAGAGATAAATGTATTCTGATGCGAAGACTTTTTTCGAACGCTACCGTGGCGTAGGTATTTGCGAGATAAACGCCAATGCCTTGATAAAAGTAAAGTTATTATTTCTTTCAGATGACTCAAAGAGACTAAGATGAAAAATCGATGACGGTCTAAGTGGTGTACCATAGTAGTCAAAAATAACTGTTTCTCATGATCACCTAGTGATGAAGAGTCAAGAAAAAAAGTGAGTATTGGATTGTCGATCTGCTATATGAGATTAAACATAACAACGTCAAATCATCTAACAGAACTACAAGTAAATTGCTTATTTCTTTTTATTCAGTGAATTTCAATGAGCTGAATGGTTCAAACTACAATACAGTATTTTAGTTTTTGGTCAGTTAAGTTTCATCTTTCTTTCTCTCGCCCGATCGTATGTAATTATTCTTACTTTATAGTTGTTCGCATAACAGAAGACATTTTAGTAACAGTTTGTATCATCTTATCTGTAAAACGCGGTGGATAAGGTTAGAGACAGGCACTAATGAATCAGCACCAAAATGCACACATATGAATATAAATATATTGATGATTCATATAATTTTCCAAAGAGAAACCGAACACTAATGTTACCCGCAAATCCAAAACGTGGAGATTTATGGAACTGGCCAACCATAAATCTGATAAAAGTATGGATATGTGCACACGTTTAAATGTTAATTGAAATGTACGCAAACAAACAAACACTGATATTTGATGACAATGAGAATGATAAAGGGTAAAACATACAGGTGGTACAGAAATAATGATTAAGGATTTTTTCGAAACTGAGATAAATAAAAAAAAGTTAATTACAACCAAAACAGACCACATAAAGATGGAATTCAAGGAAGACTTTACGCTTGCTCAGCAAGACGCCTTCAATAAGCTTACACTGAATGGCTTTCCCCTAATAGAGATATTAGGCTTGGTAGTAAAATTGACTGCTACGCTTTGATTGTATTAGGAGTGATTATAAATGTGATCTAGTCAAACTAAATGGAGGTGTGGCTAAAATCTTTATTGTCGAAATATGGAACCGATTGAAGTTAAACTGAAAAACATCACAGAGTTAACTATATTCCAGGCTAGATGTATTTCACGACCAAACTTTCTATGGAATTCGATATATCGTCCGACTAGCTGAATATAACTGTGGTATTAAACAACTGGATGTTTTGTAAATACTGCGAGTAGTGACTGAACTTTAAGACATACCGACCCATGTTGTATTCTACTTTACGGATGAAGCTCAAAGCCTGTTTTATAAGGTATATGAGGATGATGATAATCAATATGACAATGTCAACACTTAGATCGATGAGATTGCATTGTCAAATTGAGCACACTCATCCAATCTATCTTGACAGGGAAGCACAGAAGCAAAAACTGGAAAAATCATTTGAGGATTAAAACAGTGCTGAGTTTATGGCTGCGGTGAAACAAGTATACTTATTTATTGTGTGATATCGAAAGCCACTTCACATCACTTTATATATTATTTGTATAAACTTTAAATATTACGAACTACTTTATAAAATGGTCAGTAACTCAGTTGATTTTACTGGTAATGTTGATGTTAAGATTACCAATGAATATTGTACGTATAGATGTATTGTAACAACACGCTATGATAAAGCGATACACAACTTTTCTACTCGGTAATCATACTCATTAGGTTGGTGATGGGGTACAACGACATGTGTTTAAAAATTCAGTTGGTGAGATTGGGAGAGATTATTTAATTTGCTTTGTTTATTATAGGAAACATGATTTCTTTATGTTTGAATATCTTATGACACAATAGCATAAAGAAAGTATGCAGGCATACTTGGGTAAATCCTACACCCTCCAGTGACATTGACAAGTTAGCTAGGGGAGCCATGACTGAAAGTGACTAGGGTGCTTTCGTGTCATATAGAGGGATTTCGGACACCCGTGTAGAATCCTTTTGTATGTATGTGTGTGTCTGCTTGTGTAAGAAAATCACACCATGTGTGTGGTCAAAGAGACTTCTTGTTTCACAATGCACATAACGTTATTCCTTTAACTCTCTGTACTAATGTGTATTATGGTCATCTTTTGGTTCAACTTGAAATCCCTTTTATTTTGTCTTACATTTTTAAACCTTGATCGTTTCTTTGATTCGATTTTGCATTATTTTGCTGAATGTGCCAGTTTTTTTTTGGCTTTACTTGACCCTATATTCTGACGACTGATATATTGAGCGATCAATTTCCTGATTGATTTAATCTATCCAAAAACGATAGAAACTTTGTTTTCTAATTAAAAATGTTTACAGTTAACATTGACAAACACTTTGTCGTATGATTCAAATATAAGGGACTGTGGATCACATCGTTGTGATACCCCAAAATTATTACGACGAAATAAAAATGTTCAACGATCTTTGATTATTGATGGTTATTAAGTTGATGATTTCCACCAGACACAAATTCAGGTTTCGATGTCCGTGTGAAAAAAAGGTGATATTGAAATGAAAGTATCTATACAGACATTCATCTGATGAATCGCAAGAAAATAGGTCACAAGTTTCCCTACAAGTAAGTACCTCAACTTAAAAATGATATGAAATGAATACAAAAACAGTAGTGGTCAATAATTCATTAACTTGATATTCCAATCGATGCACATGTGCAAATGATCATGGTGATGGGTCAACCAGATATATATATCAGACATGCATTGGAAAAAAAGCGATGAAAATATTAATTAGCTTAATATCATGCGAAATGAAATGAGATTGCAAAAGAAAAACACATGGATACATTTTTACACATGTAGACATAAACACAGAGGTATGTATATGTAAATAAAATTTCACACATATATATGCATAAATGTCTATATGATTTACCTTCTAATTTAGACAAGGTAATTTCAACTGGAGGATTATAAAAAATGGAACAGGTGAGTGGGTGGGTGAGTGATTGATTGATTGAGAAGAAGAGAGAGAGAAAGAAAGGGAGACAAAACACAAACAAAAGGGAAAATAGACAAAATTATCAGTTTCTGAGATGAAAATAGCAATAGATGAGCAAGTTACCATAACAAAGTAAGATTTAATTCATTCATTTTACATCTTGAACTGGATTGCAGCAAACAAGCTTACAGGACTAGAGATACACCTTACCTATTAAAAATACATATTACCTTGAGTAGTCAAAATAAGTGTTTCTAGTATTCATTAGGATCGAATGCGCTCTGGTATCGATAAAAACCATAAGACCAAGGGATTTCATTAGTGTCAGATACTTTGAGACAATTACCGTGTGACAATACCGTGAGATCAGTAAGTAGGTATCTAACCGTTTATATAATACAAAATTCAACTAAATATTGATATACTGCGACTATCAAAGCTAATGCTATCGATGAGTAATCAATTACATAATTTCCGATTTCCTTGATATTATAACGGAAACTTGAAGAATTTAATCTCATGGTTAGTTAATATTTTACAGCTTATTAGCGATCGAGGAATTTAAATTTTAAAGGAAAAGGCACAAATAAACTACTAAAGAAAACCATTCTTGGGTGCTTTGATTAACAGAAAACAAAACTTTCATAAAAACCCAAGTATATAGGAGGATAGTATGCATGGGTAAATCAATATCCTCCGATACAATTTACCAAGGACTGAGCGAAAAGTTTATCCTCATTGCTAAAAACATTCACCGATTCACTGAAAAACTTCATAAAATAGGAAACTGCCACATAAGCAAAAAATTGTTCACAATAAGTTGATTATACAACTAACTTCAACGAAAATCACCTTATTGGAAAAAAAAGAAAAACAGTCATCTCAAATCTGCAGATGGATTCTTTTATATTAGGATTGTTTCGAAATCTAATTGTCAAATAGTATGTAGTAAGTTGAGATAATAATTGAAAATGTTCACTTTACACAAAATGTAATCCAAACCTGCATTTAGAAAAAAGCGTTTTCGATCATTTTCTTTTCGAATAGTTTACATAACAGCATAAAAATGATATGAACAGTCTATACTCTGCCGAGTATTTTGTTGAAAATACTTCAAACTATAATTCTTACCATAAACAGAGATGAATGTCGGTTAGAAATGAAATCCTACCTTAGAATCTTCAGCTGAATGTCCCTATACCCCAGAGTTAACGATTAACCAAATAGGATGGAATGTGTGCTCTGGATTCCACTGCAAGCAAACATCCATCTCTACTCATGATGCTTGTGACTTAATGACAATATCAAGACAAACCGCACAGGATGTACATGTGAAAAAGAGACTGATCAATTAGTCTGAAATACCAACGAGAAGACTAAAACGACCAATACAAATGTATATAGAATTACAATAGACAGTAAGGGATATTCAATGACCTATATTTCCTAGCTTCACTAAAATGAAGATATACGTTTTTATAGTCAAACTGACCGGGAGTTTAAAAATAAATCACCAGTGAAATGGGATGTAGATCGAACTATAACGCAATCTGATTAAGTTAAAAATGTAAATTAGCGAATTCCCAGTTCAGTAGTTTGAAGTTAAAACAATCGTAAGACTGTCGTAGGTTCGATATAACAAGAAACGTTGAACGATAATGAAACAGTTGCCTAGTTTTTCATAGTATCAGACGGTTGAAGGTCGTTGAAAGAAAACCATGAACTTAGCTACCGTGTTATTTGATACTCATCAGTAAAGTGTACCCGTAAACTTGGAGCGACAGATGGTCCATGTGGAACTCGAATCCGCATCACCCAGTTTCAGAATTTGAGATGTTATCTCTGAGCTATTAAGGGAGGGAATAACCTTTTACATGGCTAAAGTGAGACGCTATAAAAACATGGATTTGGAAGAAAACAAATATATATTCACTATGATGAAATAGATATTTTATTTTCTAAGATTTAATATCTCAATCTTCAACAAATTACTAAATTGTATCACTGAACATTTTTTAAACAAAACCGCCAACCCTAGTTTTAAATAACAAAAACACAAATTTAGATTCATATGTGGAACTTACTTGAAGAACGATCAATAGTACATAGATATTTGTGACTTGGATCAGTGTATATAATGCCAGCAAGTTGCTAAAATAAACAGTAAAACAATGACCATTTATTCAATAAAAAGTAAACTGAATTGATTTAGGAATGTTTATAACTGTACATGTAGATTTTATGGCAGTTTATATCGTCACATGCAGAAGTGAGCTGGTTTAATCAGTCTGTTCTATGAATGTTTGCACTTAAAGGTTGTGTCAGCTTCATTTGTCACTGTATTTCTATTTTGAGCTAAATTCACATACTTTCTTATCCTTACTTAATTTACGAAAAATGAAAGTGAGTGAATATTCTAGAACTATTACCTTCAGTATTTACAAAAAGGACCCCACCCTCTTATCAAAATTTGAACTCTTAATTTCCTCCATATTACACACAATTTATTTAGCATCGATTAACAATTCATTTCCCAACATTATGTTAACAATCGGAAATGATCAAACATAATAGTTTCTATGTAGTTGAAGAGAAAGCAATGAATTAGTTATATTCTGTAAATAATATCATTCTTGCTTTGTGTAAATCTCTATAAACTCTTTATCATCATAGGCACTGCTTAAAAAATCATTAATTTGCAGCAATAGACAGCATGTCGAAATATGAGATGAGTGGTAATAGTTGATAAGAACCCCTAGACACCGATTTGGTGCTAGTTGATAATCGTCTACAGAGTGTACCTGAAATCGTAAGAGAATTGATGCTCCCTGTGGAATTCAAACCTGAATCATCCAGCTTTACAATCTGAGACATGACCACTAGTTATTACTTTTGTAAACGTATCGAAGCATCTCGATAGAAAATTTATTATAGCAACAGAAATTAAATAAGTCTATTACTGTATAATCAAAAAAGTGGGGAAATACAAATTATTAGTTAGTTTATATTTCACATTCATAATTATAGTCACGAGAGTTTATGTTGATTGATGGATTAATACCAATATTATATAATGTGACATAAATGGATACAAGTCATGTAAACCTTCTGACTGTAACAATAATCGATAAAAATATATAAAACAATGTTATATATATATAACTATTTTTTCGAACATACATATTTTTCTTTAACTCTAATGTTTCTTTCATTAACCTTTTAAATCATTTATTCAAAATCTTTGAACTCCTTGGTTAATGATATGATAGACCAATGCTACCTATTATATGAAAAAAATTCTTATCAGTATGGGGATTTATGGAGAACGTAGTGGTCTAGAAGTTAACTGTCCGCGCGCAAGGCTGAAGGTCCTGGGTTCGAGTCCTGAATGAGGGATCGTGGATGCGCACTGTTAAGGAGTCACATACTAGGACGAAACGTCTATTCAGTGCTGTGAAAAAGATTGCTTTACAACTATCAACTATATAACATATGAATATTGAAATCCATTCATATGACCTACATGAACGTTTATAATGTGTGATAAAATAAAATTTCAGCAAATATGTTGACCTATTGTTGATTTGAACTGGAAAACGTTTGACCAGATTAGTTATTATCACTACTACAAATAAAAAGTTTTTTAGAAAAGAATCACGAACACTTTTTTATTCTGTCAGGAGAGAAATTACAATTTTTTTTTAAAAAAAAAAGAAGTATTGTCACGAATCAACATCCACAGTAAATTTACGGATAAAATTCAATTGTAAAGTTGTTTATTAAGATTATACAAGGGAAAAGTCAGTCAGTCAGCTACAAAGTAGGACCAGGCACATATGTGCATCGGTCCAAGTTGCCATACCTCATTAGTACAGGAAGATGAACACCGGATTCATAGAAGTAGTTAATTCAGTGGTTGTAATATATAAAAAAGGATTGCATATAAGGACATAGTACAGGAAGAAAGAATTAGTTGGTATATATATATATATATATATATATATATATATATATATATATCTTGATATTATTATGGTTCATTTAAGTGGAGGGAAGAATAATAACTACTAATCAATTAAAACATACTTTTAAGAAATTATGCATTCACTTACTTCTGTACACTCAAACTTTGTAGATCCTATAAATTCTGAATCGGCTGGAACACTTGTTGACAATCTAATTCCATTATCAGTAACATTATTTTTTGTCGACTGACAATTTCCAAGAAGATTCCAAAATCGAATAGTTCCATCATCAGAACATGTGACAAACATATCATTCGACCACCAAGATTGTAAATGATTTAATGGAATCGTATTATTATTGTTATCGATGTTATTATTATTCTGTCGCCATTGTTCCGGTAAACAATCCACTGACCAAATACCTCGACTATGGTAATAATGCGATCGACATTTATTGATTGTTGTTAAGTCATGTATATCCCATACATGAATGCTTTAATGAACATAATAATGACAAAAATATCAGTGGAAATATTAATTGTACTCATTAGAACAAATTTGAAGAAACAGAGCAAAAAGGGAATTTTTGTTTGAATATTTTCAAGTGACTAAACATCTTCTCCTTCGTTTTAACAAAACTATCACGGATAAAATTATTATAAGTATAGTGTTGTGGAGGCTGTTGTGTTTAGATTGATATCACGAATGGATCAACGTTAGATAACATAAGAAAACCTAAGAATCACTGGACGGCCGTTCCGCCGTAGTACGGAACACCGCGGAATCGCTCACCCATGGTCCCCAATATGGGAATCGAACCCAGGATCTTCGGACTCGAACGCTTAAGCCTAAACTCTAAATAACTGAACCGGCATCAAAAAGTGTTAATATCTAAAATCAAACAATCCACGACATCGCGCGACCGTCCACTATTGTCTTCAGTGAGTAACTATTTAACAACCGACACGGATGAACTCAACTGTTTGCGATGTCAACCTTAACTCAAAAACCTCCACAAAACTATACTGACAATTATCCTGTCCTCATTAGAGACTAGCTTCAAGATGGATTTCATGGAGTTCTAGTGAGAAAACGTGACCAGTTGAGTTCGATCCGTGTCCAGTGGAAAGAGGTATACATTTCATACAATTGATCAAAGCTTAGTCGACTGGATTATGAAGATCTCTATATCTCAAAGAAATCACAGAATACAATGGACAGCTCAGAATCAATTAGAAGATTCGGACTTCCTAGATGAACTAGCTCCTCTATCCCATCCCATACACACCAAAACATGCAGGTCAACACAAATAGTGTAGCAGCAGCCTCTGCAACAGCAGGCTTCAACATACACAACCGAAAAACCAACATCCTCAAATACAACACACAGAACACCAACCAACCCTATCACAATTGATGGAGAAACTCTGGAAGAGATGGAAAATTTCACGTATCTGGGTAGCATCATCAATAAACAAAAAGGATCTGATGCATACATAAAAGCGAGCATTAGCAAAGCAAGGACAGCATTCCTACAGTTGAAAAACACATGGAATTCAAAACAACCGTCTATAAACCAACATCAAAGTCACAATCCTCAATACGAACGTAAAAACAGTTCTACCATACCGAGATGAAACGTGGAGAACTACCACAACCATCGTCACCAAAGTACAAGTATTTATAAACAATTGACTACACAATATACTAATTTTTCGTCGGTCACATACCATCAGTAACAACCTACTGTGGGAGAGAACAAACATGCTCCCAGTTGAAGAGAAAATTACAAGAAGAGGTTAAAGGTGGTTACGATACACATTGTGGAAACCATCAAACTTCACCACGAGGCGGGTCCTCACCTGGAATCCCGAAGGCAAACGGAAAAGAAGAAGGCCAAATGACACATTGAGTTGGGAACTGGGAGCAGACATGTGAAGGACCAATAGCAACTGGAAAGCATTGCTCAAGACAGAGTTGAATAGAGAATGCTGGTGTGTGGTCTATGCTCCTCCATGATGGGTAACAGGTGTAAGTAGGTAATTCAAGTACTTGAAGAATTAACCCTTGAGTTAGAAAAACGCTTTCATGCTACGTACATGTTGATGCACAAGATGATATATATTGAATAATAAGAGAACAAAATAGTAATTAGATCAGCTATAACTGGAAATGTTAGTCATTAGCTTTGAAAGATTCTCATATGAGTGAATCATGATGCTCCTTCATGATGGGTAACAGGCGTAGGTAAATTTTTAAATATGATATATGTAAGAGGTTGAAACAAAGTCAGTAGTATTGCATAAAAATTTTTTCACAGTACACTTATTGACATAAAAAGGAAGACTTATTTAACAAATTTTGAAGTCAAATTTTAGTGGTACAATTTTAGTGAACGAGAACACTAGCGGAGACAACCAAATATATTTTAATATAACATTACAAAATATCTTAGTAAAATCTGAGAACCATACAGTAAATACTTTATTTGCAAAATACCGATTAGTTGTCTGAGACCCTGTTGTTCCTTCGTTTCCATATCAATCACTCTCTGTCTCCTCTCTTCTCTTCAATTTTCTGCTGCCATGCATTCCGCTTTCGACTGTTGATGCATACTACTTATATATGTCGACATTAGTAGCACACACCACACAATCAGTAGTTTTTCCCTCTTTTTTGATGATATACCATTACCAAACAGGAAGCTTATATAATTTTTTTCAAGTATATTAATCATTTGTTATTAAATGAAATTTAATAAAAGGGGCGTTAACGTTTTCTTACTAAAATGGCTACAAACTAAGTAATAGAGATGGTATGAAAGGAGAATAGTGAATAACACGTCAACATTGCATTTCATGCTCAATATATGTTACAAGATATGTAAAAACTACTGAAATATTGAATCAAAACCAAATATCGGATATTCTGTCATTCATTCTATCCCCTGAAATGTCTTAATTTAACAATAGATATCTGAGAGAAAACCATTTATCTGATAGAAAAAGCAATTATCAAATATCTCAATGATATTAAAACATATTTACAATAAGATGCAACAATGTCAAGCAATTAGAGATAATGAAAGGTGAGCTGTAGATTTAGGTACTGTACTAGGTAACACCTAACATTAAGGCGTGTCTGTAATCTTAAGAGAATTGATTGTAAACAGACATAGAGCAGATTATGAGACATGAAAAACTTGCAAGTTGACATGATGCAGGGTACTTTGTGATGTGAAGTAAATTGGAAAACAAATCATCTTCTACATATAGTAATTAATGAAGTTCAACATAGGAATTGTACCATATAAAGGAGTCAATCACACATGATACGAAGTGAGTTGAAATCATGATAAGTCTCTATGTCACATTACTTTATGTATGGAGAATTAGAACAACATACATAATTTACAATATGGAAATGTTTAAGAATTTTTAGGTATGGAGATTTAAATTGTGATGATATCCCCGGGAACATTTATCCATGTATTTATTGTATGAATAGTGGAACACTTTTCACCACAACATAACTTTTATACACGTCACACATATTTTTATTTCCATCAACATATATCTTCACATTTTGAATTGATCAAGAAACGCTGCTAATATTACTTGTGCTGTGGATGATACAAGCTAAATGTTAATGCTAAAACATGCTAAAATGTGTGGGATTCACGTGTCACAATCTGTTAATCCTCATTCCTGAAAATCATGTAAATCTTTGGCGAAAGCATCTAAAAATTTCAAGCACGAGTATGTTTATGCTTGGTTTGCTACACTTGTCCCTGAATATTGGTGGTATTCATAATGATTTGCAATACTAATGCTGTCCACGTTTGATTTATTTGACTTGTTGACAGAATTACATTTCCTACTTGTCAGGAACGCATTATCTTTAATAAGTAACTACTTTTTGTATTTTTAGTAGATTTATCTACTTGATGTACTACAGCTTTAATTGTGCAAAGTTTTCAGTAAAGAATATTGGCCGCATAGTCTAGAAGTAAATCTTTTCAGATATTTTGTATGGCCTATATTTAGTTAAGTGGATAACGTGATGACTTTTGAAGCGGACGGTACAGGGTTCGAGTCCCGCAGTGAACATAAACTCTGGGATGCAGACACATCCAGATGACGAGCCTCGAAAAGGACGAAACGCGTGTCCTGGGTTCCACTGCTAGCCACCATCTATCTTTGCTTATAATTCTATATTTATGTTTATGCTTAATTGGTAACGCAGTCAACATCCAACAATTGTGCTTCGATATCACTTGGAATGAATAAAATTCACCGAATTTATCCCGGCTATACAAAAAATCAGCCGAAACTCTGGAAATTTTGTACGTTACATGGGTATAATCAACTTATTATTTCAGTTACACATGGGCACAGTGTCAGTACAAGTTCAAGACACCTTCGTTAATATGAACTTACACTTGATCATTAGGTAATTAGAATCAACCTTCAGGAAACAATGAAAACAACTTAGGTGTTTATTATTAACAAAAGACCAACGTTAGTGAACGTGAATTCCAGTAAAAGTAATGTATAGTGATTAATCAATAAGAATAAAGAAAACGACTTTTGACTTTCCACCCGGAACTTCAAAAAATGACCTTTACATTGTATCAAATAGAGAGCAGCAGGATTAACTGAATAAAGTCCTCAGAACATTTGAAATGATAATGAAAGATCAATTTTTTTTCTATTGCAGACAGAAAAACTAATGGAAAACTACAACAAATTCATTAATAGTAAGTAATGTTTCTAACATTATTTTATAACATATAAACCATTCACATCAAGTAGCTGATCCTTAATCGGTTAGTTATGGGCTAAAATTCATCACAGTTATTTTGAATCATTCAAGGTTATCCTTATTCTACTCTCTTGCCTAACCTTCGGTACATAACTAAAATAAAATAAGCCAGGGGAAGTTTACTCCAAACTTCTTCAACAACTGTTATCAACTTGTGACAATAATAACAAAATATGAACGATACAATCAAAAACTTTTACAAACAATCAATCAAATAATTAGGATTCTGTAAAATACCCCCCCTATCCGAAGCTGCCTCCTGAATTCACAGATTATAAAAAACAGTGAATCCAAATATTTTAATAGTTGACCAGTGGAGTCCAATCCATTTCGGGTAGAGACAGGTATTTAACTCAGACAATGGATGAATAGTTGCACAGCCATTCATGGATCAATGAAAGTTAGACATTAACACCATTGGATTCCAGATCACTGGTCTAGGGGTTAAGCGTTCGCGCGCGAGATAGAAAATTCAGGATTCGAATCCCACGTGCGTGATCGTGGAGATGCACTTCTGAAAAGTCCCATACTAGGACGAAACGGCCGTCCAGTGATTCCAAGTTTTCAATAGTGGTCCAACTCATGAATTCAACTATTAAAATTACTACAACCTCCACAAAACCCATTCTGATCATAATTCACATATTAGCGAATAGTTAACAGTCAAACGTTGATACACAACTAAGTCATATTTGGATCTTGACGACGTAAATCCATTTTATATATAATTAAACATCTGTTCATTTAATTTCAAAACATGTAGTAAATGTACCACCCTATAACACAATTATGAGATAAAAATGAAGTCAAGATTATTTCCTCCCTACCCTTTCTGGTAGTTATACTATTTCAGATGTAAATTAATTACAAATTTTGAAAAGTAGTTAGTCAAAAAAGACTACCGTTCAATTCATTTAGGTTTGATTGAATTAATTTAATGATTTAAATGATAATCAAACATAACGCCCAGAATTCAGTCTTTTTTGCTTTATGGATAGGCACTGCTGAAGTGTCCAGAACTAGAACACTTGTTTCATTTGATGTCAGTCCATGACGAAAAATATCAGTGTGAATGAACGAAATTTCCTTATGAAATCATTATCAGATTTTAGAGAATAATTCAAATCTATTTTCATTAAACCATAGAATTCTAAGCCACAATAAAGAAGAATAGATATTTAATGACCACTTGGCACAGAAATGTTACCAAACACACTATTATCGATTATCAAGGTTTAAAGTGATACATCTTTTAACTAAACGCTTGAATCGGTTACCTAAGCTCTTCTAATAACCCCAGGCTAAATATTTACAACAACTTGGACATGAGAGAAAAAGCGTGTAATATGGAAAGAAAGCTTCCACTCAACTAATTGTTCAACAACGAACCGTAGCGTCCAGATTTCGTCTATGCACGACCGATCCTTAAGGAATCCAGCCTGTCGATCTCGAAGATGTACGTCACGAATGAGGACTTAAGAAAATCGTCCACATCATACAGAATTCATACGACGGACTACAGTGCAAAGTCGAGTATGGAGGACAGCGAACAGATGCAATCCAAGTGAGGACGGAGATAAACAAAGCTGCCTACTCTACTTTTCTCTTTCTTATAGAGGTCGACTGGATTATGAAGATCTCTATATCTCAAAGAAATCACAGAATACAATGGACAGCTCAGAATCAATTAGAAGATTCGGACTTCCTAGATGAACTAGCTCCTCTATCCCATACACACCAGGGGACAGATGGCAAAAATTGAAGAACATATGGAATTCAAAACAACCGTCTATAAACCAACATCAAAGTCACAATCCTCAATACGAACGTAAAAACAGTTCTACCATACCGAGATGAAACGTGGAGAACTACCACAACCATCGTCACCAAAGTACAAGTATTTATAAACAATTGACTACACAATATACTAATTTTTCGTCGGTCACATACCATCAGTAACAACCTACTGTGGGAGAGAACAAACATGCTCCCAGTTGAAGAGAAAATTACAAGAAGAGGTTAAAGGTGGTTACGATACACATTGTGGAAACCATCAAACTTCACCACGAGGCGGGTCCTCACCTGGAATCCCGAAGGCAAACGGAAAAGAAGAAGGCCAAATGACACATTGAGTTGGGAACTGGGAGCAGACATGTGAAGGACCAATAGCAACTGGAAAGCATTGCTCAAGACAGAGTTGAATAGAGAATGCTGGTGTGTGGTCTATGCTCCTCCATGATGGGTAACAGGTGTAAGTAGGTAATTCAAGTACTTGAGGAATTAACCCTTGAGTTAGAAAAACGCTTTCATGCTACGTACATGTTGATGCACAAGATGATATATATTGAATAATAAGAGAACAAAATAGTAATTATATCAGTTATAACTGAAAATGTTAGTCATTAGCTTTGAAAGATTCTCATATGACTGAATCACGATGTTTATCAGATGATTTCAACATGAATATGTAAATTGTAGTTGGATGAGCTAATTTATACTATTTAGTGATTAATATATCACATTCAACATAAAAAAAATAAAAGCGAATTCTTATGAATCAAAATGACAAAACAAATACAGTCAAGCAGAGTTGTAGTCTTGTCCGGTTATCAATAACAAAATAAGCATATATAAAATACTTCAACATCATTCGTTCTTACCTATGATCATTATAAAAACAAATTATACGATTACGTATGCAATCCAATTTAATTGCAATAATATCAGGGTAAATGGGTTCATTTACATTCAGCCCACTTGAAATAACATCTGGAAAAAGCTGAAAAACAAGATCAAATTGTCATTATTGATACTATAAGTAATGTTGATACTTGTAATAAAACGTCTTGAAGATGAGTTTCAATATGAATTGACATAAGTCGAAGAATTGATTGAAATACAGAAAACACTAGAAATAGATCTTTAGATACTGGAAATTCAGCTAATTGTTTAAAAAATGATAGTGTTGATTATCAAACATACGGATACCAATATTTATGTAATGATCCCAGTTATATGATTATTGAGATAAAGGATTCTGTTTACCCAAGTTTTTCTGGCACAAGTGCGACCTGAACGAAGTACTTTATAAACATCTCCAGACATAAATTTTGTTTAATACTGAGAGTAAACAGGACTGGAATCCAGGAGGCGCGTTCAATCCTAGTTGAGATATATTAGTTAGGTGTATAAGATGTAAACGTCAAAACTGGGATGCAGATATGTTTAGTTGATACATCCCAGCGAAGACGAAACACACATCCTGAACTCCAATGGTAATTGCAACCCATCTTAACTAAAACAACAATACTGAGTTCGTTATCATTCGAATAAGCAGTTGTGTGTGCATTGAAAAAAAAACTATCCTGTCAGTCAGTCAGCTACAACGTAAGACCAGGCACATATATGCATTGGCCCAAGTCGCCACATTCCATTAGCATAACAAGATAAACACCAAATTCATTGTAGTTACGTTAATTGTAATAAAAAGCACTTCATATTAGGATATGATACAAGGAGATAGAATTAGTTCGTAGAAAGAAGGATATGAAGTAATCTTAACCCAAAGGCTTAAGGGAAGACAAAGAGTGTATACACCCACACCATTGTGATCGATAGTGAACCCAGAGCCTCCAACCACTGGTTACAGTAGTCGCATGGACCGCAACCAAGTAGTCTGAATCTACCAACATGGCTCAGACCAGAAGTTAGTGACTTCAAGGACTGATGCCACGTTTTGATTCGACCACCCCTAGCTTCCTCCCATCGGTCTCAAAAACACCGTAGTAATCGGTAGTTAGACATGTGATACGTGGCCCAACCATCTCAATCGATGAAGATTTACAACCTCATCAACTGATTTACCATCATTTCCTAAAACTCTGCGTCTAACCTCACCATTACTTACCCGGTGACCCTAGCAGATGCGAGCAATATTTCTAATACATCTGTGATCAAATACTAGTAACTTACGAGATTCCTCTACTTTAAATAGCCACGTTTCGCGGCCGTAAAGTAGAACAGAACAAACTGCTGAGCAGTACACTCATCTCTTAATTGATATACGGATATCTTGCCTTCGACATAGATGAAGTAAGTTGACAAAAGTCAAACGAGCTTCTCGAATTTGTGCATAAACTTGTCAGAAACCAAGTCGATAGGGATGATCAGACTTCCAAGATAAGTGAAGTTGTCGATGCATTTGACTACTTCACTCCCTATCCTTAGTTCAGGTGTTGACACAGATCAGTCCTGAAGCAACAACTTGCATTTAGAGAGGGAGAAACGCATCCCAAATATCCTGGAAATGTTGCTTAGTGCTACCAAAAGACTCTGACTTTTGTCAGTGTCTTCACCAACTGCGTATTCTAAGTCAATAAGTGGACCTCCCGGTAGGAAATCAACCCCACTGACAAAAGATGAAACCAAATGTTTAGTGCTGCAGTTGAGAGATCAATCTATCCACTTCCGTTGCATCTCCAAAGCATGAGTGATTTAACAGCTGCGTGCGTAATTTGACTAAAAACTCAAACTGTCTTTCAAATAGCAGCTGCACTCGATCGGAAGGAAGAGTCATTTTTTTTATTCAGCACCGGTAATGCAAATTACTGTTTGATTAATGACCAATGTTGCTGAAGGACACTGATGATAAATCTGGATGCTGAAGGCTGACTTTGGATTGTTCTTTTTTTTACCCCGTCGCCAATTGTTATGACTCAAGAGATATCCGATTATAGGAAAGTGACTTATCGATCGGATCAAGGATTCAGAATCTCGATAGGCTATTCTGGTCCGTTGTCCCCAACTCTGCTAACTCGATCAAGAAGTCTGGTAAGGTGTAGAAAGTGTATTCTACAGACAAACAGCAGATAACCAGTCAGGCAGGCAGATCAGATCAAGCATACAAATCAAGCGTATTTATACAAATATTTACAATCGATATTGTCATGGAAGATTTTTGAACATTAATCAACAATTGACTGCTATTTGAACCCTTAATCGATAGTTCATCAATTGACCTATTTGTACATTTAATCGATAGTTCATCAATTGACCTATCTGCACATTTAATCGATAAGTAAATTACAAAATTTGAGTTTTGGGGATCTATCGTCCCCAACATTCCTGTATTTTGTTTTTCAAATGATTTTCTGAGACTAAACTTTCCAAAACAATTAACTAGTTAAACAATCGAGAACTATGCAAACTATGTCCTACTATGCCTTAACTTCCAGTTACAAACAGTAGAAGAGCAGATTTCCTACAACTGTCTATTATTTTTTATCAGACAGAACTATTAAATTTCCTGGTTATATATAACAAGTAATATATCAAACAACAATGTACCATATAATTTGTAAATAACAGTACGTTTAACAAACGAAGATATTTTTGCGTCATTAGAAACAAATTAATTCTACTTATAATTAAAAAATTATCATTTTTGACTTGAGAAGAAAATCTAACATAATTCACAGGCCAAACAAAAGTTTACAACTGGAAGTATATAGCAAAACATTTTTCTGAGAAAATCATGAGAAAATTACACATAATATTTGCACACAAAGAACAGGTATTCAATTTTTATATTTCTAGTTTTTGTTTCCGCCGCCTTTCCACATAGCAACAGTCATAACATATAAACGGACACAAATAGTTAACGGTAAGGAATTTTTCCGACCAAATTGTTTACTTTGTCACATACATGATTAAATCTATGCGACAAATAACTTTAAAGCTTTGTGTGTGTGTTCACATAGATTTATGAAATCACTGCGATTTGAGACTTTTCAGGGGAGTTAAAATAATACCATTAAATACAATAACACATGAAAGTTAGTTTTCACTTTTTTAAGAAAATAAATGAATCGACTAAATAGTCAACCAACACTTTTGATTGGTGCTAGAAGAAAGTGTAATTGTTTAGAACAATCCATAAATTTAAATATTCTGACGAATATAATCACTTAGTGTAATAGGAAAATGTGTACAAAGAAAAAACAATTTATGTAAAGAAAGAATTCTTGAGTATTTAAACAAACATGTAGATTTATGATAAACTCAACTCAACTAGATAATCACTGCAATGAAGCATTTGATGAATCCATCTATTTCAATAGAAATATATATATATATATATATATAGCTTTGGCTTTTCTACCATTATTTGACTGGTTGATGCGTGAAATTTATGTCTCCTGGAATAAAATCGCTGTGGACGACGATAGATCTTCTCTTTACAGCAGAATTCCTTGTGTCCCTTATGGTGACATTTAGTGCAACAGTAGTTTTTATATGGACAAAACTTCGTGTGATGTTTGTCATTCACTGCATAACCAGCACGGTGATGGAGACTACTTGTTTGAGCTGTCCTGCTTTCACGTAAAACAATCTTTTTTGTACATTTGTTACTTGCGTGTATGGTGGCCAACAACTGTTTTGCACCATAGAAGTGTTATGTTTCAAGTTCACTAACCTCTGACATTCAGTGGTCAATTCTTACAGAGTTATCTTTGGACATTGTTCAATTTTACTCAAAATTCTGGTTCTGATATCGGCATCTTCAGGCGACTGCAAGCTACATACAAAAACAAGACACTTAAACTTGTCTGCTGTCATTGCCGATAATTTAAAACGCTCACACTCGCGATTTACTAGGCCGGCATATTGCACCCAGTCATCGGCGCCCGCATTTGCTAACTCGAGATATTGGTAATGAATATTAAACAAAGATCACTGTTCATCAAAGATTTGCAACAAAATTTCGTTCATCTCCATCTGTGCCAAGTTTGCGTAGTAGAACTCTGACTTTTGTAGCACCATCGAATTTCTCTAAGTCGACCGAGAATACAGCTTATTATTTGTTGAACCAGGATTCGAATGTCAAACTGACTAAACCACCAAAATCAAATTCGTAGATAGAATTAATGTAGTTGACGTGGGATTTGAATGAATCATCTGTAAGCCCCTTTTGATTTCGATTCATTTGCTGGGTCATGAACAGTTGAAGATGAACGCTACACCAACTTCATTCTTCCCAAGAATCTGAGAGACCTTTCCTATGATGTGATTTATACATGGAGCAAGTGTGCTATTAGAGATTCATAGTCGACAAAAATGGAAGAAAATCTGATCCAGAAAACGTCGAGGCTATCAAGATCATGCATCCACGATAGATATATCAAACTTAAGTTCCTTCTTGGAGATGGTTAATCATTAAGATGTTTTCCCTCTAGACCTGCATCGTCTGCGTGCCCCGTTGAATTGTTTACTAACAAAGAATATCAAATGCATCTGATCAACAGGATGTTAAGAAGGACTCTAAAACTAAAACAGCTCCTACCATCAAACCTTCTACTTACGCACTATGATCGAGTCCTTCCTATTGTGGTCGCAGTAAATGCGTCAAATTATGGAATTGGAACAGCGATTTCACATATCTACAAAGATGGATCTGAGAAAAAGGTTGCCGAAGCTGCATGATCACTGACAACGACAGAAAGGAACTATAGTTAGATAGAGAAGGAAACTCTCTTCATTAATAACCATAATAATAATAACGATAATAATTCAAGTTCAACTGAACATGTAGAGCCAACGTAAGAAAAGAATATAAATGCGTTCACAAACTACAGTGAGATTAATAAACAATCAAAATTGCTTGTAAATTAATTCCACTGCTAAAATATCACAAGAATTCCTAGACAAAGTGTTTATAAACAGGAAACTTTGTAAACATTCAGTCTAACCAGGAAGAACTGTGAAGATTTTAGTAACTTTGATTAAATTATGTAATTAAATTATAATAATAAGAAAAGAATATATCCATCATGTAATCAGGTAAGATTTGTTTAAATTGATAGTTTTTCCAATTTCATTCCGTAATAAAAATAGTATTGCATTTTTTTTCCAATAAAAACAGATTATATTACTTAGTTTAATACGCATACAGGATTGGCATGGAAACAGGCAGATGTACAAAAGCGAGTAAGTAAATATTGAAGAATATCATGAAAATATGTAAAGAATGAAATGCAAAATTAGTGGTGAGAACATATACCTAAAATAAAGGCAACAAATACATGAATTCCAGAAGCTTTTATTGATATTTTCGTATTGTTCATGCAGAACCGCTATACCGATTATTTTCTATTAGTCTATTATATAATTTTAATATTTGAATTCATGAGTTGATCTAAGCTAGACCACCATTGAAAACCCGGAAACACTGGAAGGCTGTTTCGTCTTAGTATGGGACTCCTTAGGTGGAGACAGTTATCCACTTCAAACAATGGATGAAGGATTGCTCAAGACCATGATTCGACTCAAGTTAGATATTAACACCGTTGGATGCCCGCTCAGTGGTCTAGAGGTTAAGCATTCGCGCGCGAGACGGAAGGTCCTGGGTTCGAGTCCCATGTGCGGGATCGTGAATGTGCAATGCTAGGAAGTCTCATATTAGGGCGGAACGGTCATCCAGTGCTTCCAGGTTTTCAACGATGATCTAGATTACAACGATTCATAAATTCGACTATCAAAATTACCACAATCTCCACAACCCCCCTTTCTGATATTGTATAATTCTCACAACCCCAAACGATCGGACAGACATCACATTTTACAACAAAATCAATATATACATATTTTCTGTTAAAAAAAAGAAAATATTACTGTGCATCAGGAAGACAGCACAACTTACATGTAAACTGGAACCCAACGAATGAGGTAAAGGAAGTTTAGCTATAAATTGCAAACTTTCAGCTTCAAATAATAGACAAACACCGGTGGTACAACCAACAGTTACCCATGAACCACTTGTTGAAATACAGTTTGCTCTAGAAGTCTAAGAAAGAAAATAAAAAAAATAAGACAATCAAATAATGACAGAAACCTAGACTGCAATGTATGGAAATCAGCCTGTGACAAAATGATGGCCGAAAAAGTTAAGTTTCAATAGATTTTTTAAAGCTTCCGATAGAATATTTAAAAAATACAGGAAATACGAGAGGACGATTGTCATCAATCTTTTGTTTCTTTAGGCTCTCTAGTTTATAACTATTCTATTACCGTATCCAATTTAATTAGGATATACATCAGTGAAGTTATGATTTAATTTTATTGAAAATGACAGATTTTAACAGCCTTACGTAAATCTGTTCTTTTTTGAACTAGCAAATATGTGCCCGTTTTAATCTTATAATTCAATTTAATTAATTGGTAATCTCTTTACCTATTTACATATTTGTTTATTTATGAATGTAGTTGTCTGTCTGTTTATCGATTTTTCATGATAATTGTATCCTCTTTAGATAAACTGAGTCAACGATTGATGGTCCCCATTAATCCACATCACCCACGTTTTGAATTAACAGACAAATAAATGCACATACAATAGGATTGGTCGTTACAATAATCCACACCACGACGCATAATAAACAGCTTACAATCTCTTTGTTTCATACATGTAGTCTGCTGAACCAATTTGTGTGAAATTTATACATCCTCCAAAATATTTTACGTTAAACGTTTATATGCGAACACGTAACAAAAGGGTTAGATTCACTTGGTATTGTTTGTTTGAATCTGCAATCGATCAACCTTTTATTGGCATATGTGCATTCTATGAGGATCGCCTCGATATCACCTTACGCCCATATTTGCTTATAATAAAAGGATTAGTTTAAGAAACACACACAAAATAAAGTCGAGTAAGAAGCCAGATTTATCAGAGATTGTACACAATTTCTAAATGTTATAATCATAATCTGTGTTAGTTTCAAAAGGAAAAAATCGATAGTGTTTATCATGTGCGAACAGATATACAAGTTAAAAGTTGTATAATACAAAGATATAAATTACATTCACCAGTCTTGAAATGGTAAAGATTTGTAGCTCAGGTGAATGATTTTGATGGAGTTTCGTTCTCCGAGGTGGATGCAGGTACATCCAGCTGACGAGTCTTGAAAAGGACGAAACGCGCATCCTGGATTTCACTGACAGCCATCAACCATCTTTGCTTATTATGTGAAAAAATTTCGCTGGAAATAGACTATTTTGTAAAACGAATCCAGTGGGATTAGCAACACTTATCATTGATGTAAATGACTGACTTCCAACTTCAATACAATAAAGATTAGACGAAATATACAGAAATAGTTAAGAAACCTTGTATAACTGAATAGGATATGGGATTCAATAGAAGTAGCGGCTTGATATTACTTAAAGTATACATTTTTTTATTGGTTGAACGTCCTTTTTAATATTAGTACTAAACCTTGAAGGTAAATTCCATTACCACCTGTTGTCAATTAAAGAATGAACGAAGATGTTTGATCCTAATTCGGCAGTCCTAGTAGTAGTACACACTCAACACACAGGATAGTGGCCTGTATTGTATTAATCAATTGGAGGTTACTTTAGAATGAGTCATATATATACATTGGATGCAAATTGTACCACATTCCAAAGAGAATAAACTAGAAAACTTAGTCTATTAAATTCTAATCTAGGGGTTTGACATTTGGTCATCGATTTTCAACTTCGCATGACAACGTATAGGGATATTACTGAACGGTTTCTAACTATCAACAGTTTTTTTTTTAGTTGACATCAATTCTTAACAAAAATCACCCTTAAACTAAACAAATATACATTAATTTAAAATGATTGGCAATTAATATTGATTAAGCTTAAAAAGAACATAAAACACATTAGTAACAAACAGATACAAATCAATAGTTTGTACCATTCATTTAATGTTATAAAGAAATAAGTTGCATATATTATTGACTATTGAATGTAGTGAAAATATAAAAAAAGTTACAGTTACAGTCATTTGTTAATTGTACATTGGATAAACAATGATATAACATGAATGACAAAGTTTTATAAATTAATTGAAAAAGTGTTCATTGGTTACCCTGGGGAATAATAGTTTGAATGCTGCACTGATTAAAATGATTATCATTCAAATCTTGTCGATAAAATTAGAACAAACTATAGGTATACATAAAAGAAACAAAGGATGAAGTGTTAATTTTGTTATTTAAAAAAAGGAATCAACTGACGTCATCTACAAATATTCATCAATAAAGCATAAAAATAAATTCATTGGTGTATTTTATACGTATTAACTGATAATTTAATTAAATCTCTAAACATACATTGGATGAATGATTTAAAAAGAACAATGTACGCAGTAGACAAGTATAAAATAAAGATAAGTAGATAGACACACATAGAAAGAGAATGAGAGATAACGATGAACAATTCAATAACTCACTTTTAAATCAACCCATTTGTCTAGATCTCTTTGACCATTAAATTGTATTAAACGACCAGCTGTATTTACGACTAATGTCAAAGTATTAGATGTTGTGGTTGATGTTGTTGTAGAGCCGATACCTGGAGACGGTGATGATGATGCTGATGCAATTTTACCACTGTTATTATTTGTTACATCTTCACGATCTTTTCCTTCGCCTCCTGCTGTAGATTTTAATTTAGCAGAATGAATTTGAGTAGAACCGGGATTAGAGGAAGACAAAGTAGGCGAAGAAGAAGACAACGACGACGACGAATTAACACAGCATACATCAGTAAATACACTGTTGAACATATCGCCTAAGATAGCATTTCTTCCATGAAGTGGTAGAGTTTCACGAATCTATCAGTTAGAATGAAAAAATAAAGGTAAAGAAAAGTGCAGAACAATCGTATACTTAATGTTTGTATTGTTGCTAAGATTATAATGAGTGTTGATTTACCCTAACTTCGTACATATCACCTCACATTTCACTTCATTTGGTGTAATACCCGTTTAATGAAGACATTATGTTTAGTTAAACAATATATTGCTACGACATACGCATATTAATAACAAATAGAGATGTTCGAATTTCAGCCCAAAAATTTTAAAGTACCATATGATCATCGTGATGGAGACTAGTGTTTTTGTCTAATCTGAAGTCAATGATAACAGTGGAATAGATTGCATAAATTAACATAATAAATGAAAGGTACAAATCGGTAGTGCGATGACAGGCGTACTAGTTGCGATAAGAATAATAAAGGCTTGAATCTATGTTTCATAATGGGAAATAAGTCAATGATTAGAAAATATAGACACTGAAATCACATTCCAAAAAAAATCATAAGATTATGTAATAAGCGTCCAGATTATTGGACCGTGAAGCGTATATTTACGAAAAGAAAAGGGTGGAAGAGGGTGAAGAAAAACAAACGAAAAAGTATGGAATATAATAATAAATAAAATCAGTTGATAGGGTCGAGGGGGAAATAAAGGTGTCAAAAATTTCTTATGAACGTAAAGACTTGGGTCGAGTACAATAGACAGATGTTAGCTGCATTAAACGTTCTCATAACTGCTCTAGTCAGTCTATCATATAGCATATCACCAGCGACATCTCAATTGAATTCCAGTTTCAGAAAGAGGGGTTTCTTACTAGCTGTTGATGTCTCCATTTTCTTATTTGTTACATGCAAGTATTTCTTCAGGAAATCTTGTGGATAACCCATTTCCATCAACATATTATGTATAAGAATTCGGTTATTTATTCTCTGAAGAAGTGACTTACACTAAGTCACGAAACGTCAGAAAATCTGATTTTCTACTCATCGGGATATTACAAATATATTATTTTTATTTATAACAATCAACCCAGTGCTCAATTTATTCGAAATTATTAAATCAAACCTTGGTGATGATACCTTCAATTGTAATAAATTCATTTTAATGAAATAAACCGGGAAAAATCAACTATTTTAGTCGAAATGACGTCGATGAGACATTATCAGAATGACAGAAAGCTGAAGAACTCGTCAAAACACTTAGAGACACAATTATTATGTCAATGCATGGGATTTGTGGCACGCGTAGAATTTTCACCGTTCAAATTACGAACTGATTCTTAGCTAGATCACGAGTTGAAATTCTGAAAGAACTGAACAGCCATCTCGTCCTACTATGGGACTCCTCAGTACTGCACGTCCACAGCTCTGCACTCGGGAATCGATCTATTTAAGCATGAAAAGCATGAATTTCTAAGAACGTTCCTACTTCCAATTAATAGTAATTTGGACTCTTCAGAGAGATCAGTATTCATGTAATGTCAGTGAATGAGGAGTGTTTTCAATAATCCAGAAAAAAATCCTTAATTATGTAATTAGTAAATCAATATTTTTCGTGTGATTAGTTCCCTTCACAAATGTGAAATAAAACGAGGTGCGCGATATTTGTAGACTACAATGAATTAATTAAATATTGTTGCTTTCTCACCACTTAAATACAAGTTAATAAGCTAAGTTGATTTAAAATATTAACATGAAGTTTTTTAAGAAATGAATCATCATGAAAGATCACCGAAATGTTTAAGTGAAACGGTAGTTTAATAACAAAAATTTATAGCTTTCCATCGGGTAGGTTACTCGTACGAATCTACAACTACCTAGTTCGGGGCTTAGATAACCGACAATCTCTAATTAAAAAGTAGCTGAACGCTCAATACATAAATCTATGCTTGGTACATTAGTTAATCAATTAAACCATTGAAATTCATTAAAAGGTAACATCGTAATAACGATTTTTAAAATAAAGTTCTTCGAAAAATGCCATTTTACTTCTGATTATTTACGTTCAACTGACAATTATTTTTTTAATATTGCCACTGTTAAGCAATTTATATGAAAGAATATATAGTGACCAAAATTACAAAAACACTTACTTTACTGCGTTTATTTTCTAAATACCAAAAACGAACATAACGTACACCAACTGTAACAAAAAATTGTCCCATTGGACTGAAAGCAATTCCATAGATCTATTAATAGGGAAAAAATGGAAAAGATTTATAAAATAAAATATTTGTAGAATAAAAACTATATTAATTGCTATACAAACTTTCATTCAAGTTTAAAAAAGATAACTTCACAAAATATTGAACTCAGTGTATACAAACGAATGGTGAATAGTGCATTAACTAACATATATACTCAATGTATATGAAGGGTTGTAGATTTCATGAATTTAAATTTAGAACTAACTTTTTACTTTTACTGCTTAGATTAGTTTTTTGTAATATATCCTTGTGAACAATTAAGAATCGGTACTACACAAAATCTTTCAGTTTTTATTTAAGAGTTACTAATCCTAAAGAATCCACAGAGAAAAAACAATATAATTCGTGTTCTTAAATGTGCAATACAATGGATGGATAGTTTAATGATGAGCGTACACTTAACGATTCACAAAGCTAAGCTGAAAGTTTGAACGTTACCATTACACAATTAAATTACAGCATTGAAGTAGTCTGTAAATACTAGTAAAGTAACCTTGGGAGAGAAATGCCGACTTTTAAACAATAAAAATCCTGGTGATATAAATCAACATCTTAATGCAAAAAACAGAAAGTCTATGAGTTTTGGTTCGGATTAGGAGTTAGAGTATGGTTTAAAAATCACAGTTAGTAGAAAGTGTTAAAGGATAGGAGTAATGATAAAAAATCGAGTAAGTAAATTCCAAGTATGCATGAATATTTATCAAGTTAGTTCTTTGATTTTAAGTATTTAAAACCGTATAGATTATCTTAAAAATGTATGGATCATGCAACGCTATCTTTAATATTTCTCGTGTATATTCGTTTTAACCATTTTATTGCCTAAATATTGGTTGTATTCACTCAGACTTTAATAAAATACATGCTGTCTATCACTGTGTTCTGAATCTCAAACAAAATTCCAAGGTTCACCATATTAAACCTCAATGCCCAGACAGTAAAATACAGTTTTACCAACTACACTAGCATTAATTTAAATAAGAGCACACAGAACGTTTTTCTCAAAAAATGAGATCCTACAAATTTATACTTCACATTTATTTTTCAAGAAAAAACACTTTGAAAAGCTACAGAAATTGTTTAAATTACTACATTTATATTAATGGAATAAGTAAATAATCAAAGTTTAACGCTTTTTTACCAGTTTCAAACATTTGTTGATGTACGGAAATGCATAACCGAAAAAAATGATTTACAGAGTTCCATTGAACTAGATTTCAGTAGAGGAATTCACTGTTAAACAGTTTGACGTAATTTGAATAAAAGCTGAAAAATTAATTGTCAATTTATGAAACGATGCACAAAAATGAGGTCTGACAGTCAACTCTTAATTGATTGACCTACAAACTGAATTCCTTTAATAGATTATGGTATTTTATCAAGTTTATTATGTTCGTATTCACGATGTATGTCATTTTATTACATGAAGAACTATCCACCAGCCTAATGGTCTTGCCATTGAGTTCTAATCATTCATAGACAATAATATGGTCTTTCGAGTAACCATTACTCGGGAATATCATATCACTGTGTTCATTTGTCGGTTGACATGCTATAGATTGATTTTAACAAACAAAAATCTCATCGCATCATATCACCAAACACCTCTCCATAACAGTTTGTGCATAAATAGCTGAAATAACACTGAAAAACTAAGTATTAATGAACTAAAATGTATGAGTTTTATCAGTAACAGCTATGAAATCCTAAATTACGTTAAAAATCAAAGTTATGTACAAAACATATGACCAGATAAAAATAGGTTTCACTTAAAGTTGCAAAACTTCACTCACCACAAATAGGAGCAAAGAAATCGAAAGAATAAGACGGATAGTAGAAAAAAGCAATCATAGGAAATATAGATCAGAGATATGAATAAAATTAATAAGTCAGAAATATGCAGTAACATAATCCAAGATTTAAAAGGATGATACAGAATGACAACAAGGACAATCGATTTATTAAATTACTACGTCTGACAACAACATTACTCATTTGTTGATGATTACACTGAAATTGAGTAGTGCTTCGAAAACAATAACACTTTGCGAAGGAATGGAAATCGAGTTTTTTTATTAGTATCTGTAATCGGAGCCAAAATTATACCATACTATACTATCCTTTTCTCGCCCCCTAAATCTCTTCAGAAATTTCGTGCAATTGGCTCTATTTTATGAGTTCGAATAAATCCAAAACAATAACTGAGGCTGAATAATATGAATTTATTATATTTCGTGGTTCCTCATCAGCTGCTTACAACCATATATGTAATGAAATGTAACATTGAGGTAAGATGTAATGTGAAGCAATTGATAATACTGCCTCATCTGCCTTCTTTCTATGTTTTTTGGAACTCGATCTCCAAAAGGTCTCACATCTGTTCCTCCACATTATATCTCACCTTAAATGTTACATTTCAATACATATATATGGCTGTAAGCAGCTAAAATGAGAAACCACGAAATATAATGAATTCATATTATTCAGCCTCAGTTGTTATTTTGGCTTTATTCTGAAAAATAAAAGAGTACATACTTATTGTCTAAGTAGTTTGATGACATTGATTTCATGAAGAAGTGCATACAAAAAAAATTATATAAGTAGTTTGCAACTCATATTGTTTCTTTTTAACCATTCCCGCTTATCAAATTTTTAGGACATTTCTATGCCAAACAAAGATAGATGAAGGCAAACACATAGATAAAATAGAAAGTTGATTTCTGAAGAAAACTCTATTCGAAAAGAAAATATGGTAACATAAAACCATTGGGTTTGAAAATTATCCAACCAATTTTCAGAATATAAGTTCAATTATAATTCAGTCGAGTAAATTCACGTGATTTGACCGTAAAACATCATTTTCAAGGTTAAACCTGTGTTTAATACAATTTTTTCGTGAGAATATTCTGAAACGAAAGAACTAACTGTTTATATCACATTAATATTTTTAATGAATTAGAAACGTTATTCTATCCATTTCAAGTTTCTATAACAAGACAGATAATCTTGAATTTATGCTTGTCAATCACCGCATTTAGTCAATTGTAGTACGGTACTAGATATAAGTACATTTTGTGTCTATTGAGCTGTCGACTAATGTTTTCTTTATTCCTCTCTGCCTTCAAGATTTACTCATCCACATCAACGTTATTGGTTAAACTCTATAACATTACGTCTTTAGGTCAGATGCAAAACTATAGAAAGTTACATTAATTAAGATCATTTAAACCTATAATTAATTGATGGATGCATATGTGTATCAAGTTTAACTACATATATTTTTGTATAATATTTTTAGGTAAAGTAACTGATATCTTGAAAAAACACTGACTACTTTTTTCATGTAACAAATAACAAAACCAAACGAATTGATAGCTCAGTGATTAAGGTGTATGAATTCTGGCTAATAAGTCACAGGTTCGAACTCTATCCCATCTACATTGGTTTACGTAACCCTGTTGCATTTAGAGTGTGACTCGAAGTTAAGTATACGAATTTGTACTTCATAAATGAATTGAATAGATAAATACAATAGAGACAAAAGCGATGAAATTTTTATGAATCAAAGATCTGAAAATTAATATTTTCCTAATACAATCTATTTTCGCAAAAATACATACGTATATAAGTAAAAATATGTCGTGAAGACCATTTTATCAACGTATTTCACATAATATGTATATGTATTAACAAACTAAAATGGAAAACAAGAAAAAAGGGATACTGAAATTTCAACAAAACTTGAATAACAAATAAGTATGTTACTTCTTATGTGTTTAATAATAGTTATACTAACACTACTACTAATAGTAATGATAATAACAGCAATAAACCGACAATGAACTCAGACATACTCGGTTGAAGTAAAATAAGTCATTCTAACATTCATTCACAAAAATGACTTTATTAATAAGGTGTAGAGTTTGTCATCATGTTACAGAAGTTCTTAAAACTAACACACATAAAGGCAATCACAAGAACGTTATATTTTGAACAAAAAAATATTGACTCAAATATCTATGCCGTGTGACAAGAGAGAGAAAATTATCAAATAAATAGGAGAAATATAAATGAATAGAAATTAATAAAATATACTAACAAGATGCTTAAGATTGAACTCATATTATTTTGGTCGATTTGAAATTGACATTTGAATTATTCAAATCATGATCTTTAATATGTTTCACAAGGGATTCATTAATTGAAGATGCTTCGAATCTTAGTTATTTTCATTACTGAAGATTTCCATTCTAATTAATTAGCTTAACTTCCCAAATAGTATTTAACTTGTGCAAATCCGATTCAATGATATTAAGATTAGGTAAATTAGTAAGAATATAATATGTTAATCTAATATATTATCGTAACCTGAAAAAGTTTTCACAATTGATAGTTATCAATAGATATGTCAATCTGCATTGTAAGTGCTTTTTTTTCAACTAACAGCTGAAATAAACAATCTAGTGTACGTAAATTAAGTCAAACCAAACGGACAAAACGTATTCAGTTTTATTACACAAGGATACAGGACAACTAATTATGTTAACAATAATAAATATATTTTTTGTTATTTCCCAATAAGTAGAAAATTGTATCTCTGGCGCTTTGTGACTTAATGCGAGCCACTTCTTCGGAGTAAATAAATAACCGGATGTTTGAGTGATAGTTTATATAAGAACTCTATGTAAAATAAGTGTGAACAGTTCAACTTATTAGAATTCAATAGATACATAACTAGTTGGTATAGAATAAATGGAATGCGGTTAGCAGTGAAATCCAGTCGGCGTGCTTCATCCTATTTAGGATGAGTATCCTGGATTCCATTGCTATTCTATACTAACTCATGTTACAATGGCTAGATCGAGACAATCTGCATAGGATTCACATATACCAACTAAAACTTATTGAAGTTCAATCAACGGAAAAACGACGGGATGATTCAATCCATTCCAAATCAAATTAAATACAAAGCTAGCCCCTTGTTA